AACAGGCTTAGGAGAGGCTCTCCTTGAGCCATTCTGTAAATTGCCTTTCTCCAAGCCCAGTCTTCCTATGAACCTGGGCAAAGAAGGGCAATAAGGGCGATGAGGGGAGTAAATTTCAAGAAGAGAGAAGGTTTTGTATATGTTTTACCTTGAGAAGAGAAAATTAATAGGACCTTTCCAGTGCCTGAAGGGATGCCCAAAATAGTTCAAGATTTATTGTATGTCACTCAAGACAGAATAATGGATGAATCTTCACACACGTTAACAAATTTTAAAATCAGCCCATAACAAATTTTAATATTTATCCAGTTATACTATTTACATATGCAGTCTTGTCATTTTTTAAAATATTTCTACAGGTTTTATTACTTCCTTTCAGCATTTTTCATAGACATTAAGATTTATCGCACTTCTATACTAGATATCTTTCCTCTTATTTTATGTCTACTTTCCTTCCATTCTGTTGGTCTATCTTCTAATATTGTTTTCATATAGGAATTCATTCCTTCTCTTCCTGCAAGCATTTTACTTTTTTCTAGTTGTTATTCGCTGTCCTTTCCTACCCAAGATCTACTCTTGATGCTGCTAAGAAATGGCCAGTCCTACATTTAGGACTTCTTAACATTTCAGGTTTTTTTTTTAAATTATATACAAGAAACATACTATTCTATAGACCTTTAAATTACCTACTGTTCTTTCATTTAATGTGTTAAATCATGCTTCCTTACCATTTCTCTCTCTCTTCAATTTCAAGTCATCTGATAAGACCAGAGTTAATGAACTCTCAATACCTATCCTGGCTTTAGTCAATTGATGACTTCCACTTTTTTTTTGTAAGATAGGGAAAGGATATTGCTGGGGTAATGCTAATGATAAGGACCGTACCAGTCAGTTTGAGCACACTTTGGGTCAATGTGAGACAAGAACAACCAAAATTCAGTTTTGGTGAAAACAGCTCTTTAGACCTATAGACTAATTTATAAAGCAGAGTGTTGCCTACATTCCAATATGTAAAAATGTATGGTTGCACTGAAAGAAACTCAGACTGAATATTTTTTAAAAAAATAACTGAAGTATTATCCTTTAAAAAAGCTTGGCTATATCTCTTCAAAGGGATGAAATTGCCAGTAGTTCCATTTTTGTTTGAACTGGTGGTTCTGTGGTATCTAGAAATTGGTGGTATCTAGAAATTGGTTCATTTGAATGTTAGCTTTTTACTTTACTTAATTCTAAATTATTTAAAAGCGACACCTTTAACATTTTGAATACAACTGAAGCTTGACTTCAACAAAGGGCTGTCATAAATTCTGTGTGTGCATATCTGATGGGAAAAATACATTAGGTGAAATAATTGTTTCTATTGAAATAAAAATAAATCTTTTAAAGTTTTTATTTAGGTCATTCATGGATATTTGGTTTTTTTGATGAGGGAAATTATCTTTGTATTAACAGTAAATATATTTAAATATTTCCAATTACAACTAAGGATAGTTTACAAGTTTCCACTATTTCAGAATGTCTAAAATTTTGAAGTTATAGCATATAATAAATTAATGTGATGGCAAAGCTCTTAAATATTACCAAAAGTAATTTAAGGATATGGTTAACCAAATTGATAATTTCAGCATGTGTAACATCTGCAATATAAACAGTTAAACTTAATATGGTCTGTTTAAAGTATATAGGAATTTTTGCACTTGTCTGGATAGCTAGATGCAGCTTTCTCTAAAGACAATTTTTGCAAATAACATCTGTTTCGGTTTTTGGTTATTATTAATATTTTGCCAACAGCCACAACTTTTTAATGGTTGCCAGAAACTACATAGATTCATCAGATATTTTGTGCACATGCTAAAATACAATATTCTTTTCAATTAAAACATTTCACATGGTATTGTGTTTAACAATGTACAAAAATAGTTGTTTGAAGGAAAAATGCTTTTTGTTTACTGTAAATTTCACTTCTTGATCTCTTAACCAAAATTCAGTTTTTACCACCAGGTTCTTTTTATTTTTGGTGGAAAATAAAGTTAAATTTTGATTTCACAGAGAGGAGATACAGTATGTCTTTGGGCTATGTAGGACTCAGCAGAATTGGTACTAAATGTATCACTAGAGCAGTTCAAATTATGACATGATAAATTCAAGAATTCAAATTTAGAGTAAAATCAGTATCTTCTTTTGAACAGAATTTCATTTTGCAATTCATGCATATAACCATCCCTGTAGGAATAATTCTGGAGTCTGTATTCTTGCTTGTATTATTTATTACTCTATGTAGAACTAATAATTGGATCCAGGTACACTTAATGTTGGTATAGTAATTCTAATATTAACTCTGACTGAGCTGTAAAACAAGATATTTTATTTTATTATATTATATTATTTTGCTGCCTATCTTGTCTCAGGGCGACTCTGGCAGTGTACAAAATTAAAAGCTATAAAACCATAATATATACAGTAAACATTTCTAAAAGCAATAAAAATGGCATTACAATCCGGAAAAATTGTAAATAAAACATGCTATTATAAATTGAATTTTGTATAGAACTGAGTGGACTAGAAGTGTATGTGGAATTATATCTCACTTCCTAAGAAACACTTGGCAAAACCGGCCACTATTCCTGCTCCTAGAGATACTGTAGGGAGGTCTCTAATTGTTGTTTCCTTGCCAATGGAAGAATTTCTTCTATTCAAAATGATCAACACTAATGTTCATGAAAACTCTCTGTCTTATAATGTCTTTAAATAGGTTAAAGATAGAATAAGATTTGGGAAAATAAAAATGCTAATGCTTATTCTGTGCTAGTTTCAAGCACAGATAATAGCACAATATATAATACTTTATTTTCTTGTGGAGCATTCTGTATTATTTCTGCAGAAAGAGTTTTTATATATCCTATTCTTCAGCTCCCATTTTTAAATAGCATTTGTCCAATTATTTGAAATAACAAACTGAAAGCTCTTCTACTTTTTTCTTCCACATTCTACTAGATAATTCTGATAAAATTAAATTGATCTTCAGACATTAAACTGCGCCTCCAGGAGAGATTTTTTAAAATTTAATTTTTAGGATGAACCCTGGACAAAATTAATTCCTAGCAATATTTGTTTTGTCATGACTCTGCCACAAATCCACTTTACCAAAATCTCCATATTTGCTCCCATCTGGCAAAATTCTATTTCTCTTTTGTTGGATTTGTCGGATAAGATAAATTTATATCAATTGTTTAAAAATAGTACAGTAAGGTTCAATTATAAAGTTCAATCTTACTTTAAGGTAAATAAAATACTTCTCTATTTATGACTACAATTGAACCAACATTTGTGTTGTTAAGTGAGACATATATTGAGTTTTGCTCCATTCTATGAGTTTTCTTGTCACAGTCATTAACTGAATCACTGCAGTTGATATGTTAGAAACCTGGTTAAGTGAATTTGGCTTTCCCATTGACTTTCCTTGTCAGAACCTTGGGACATGACCTTGGGACACAGCAATGCTCATGAATATGATCTAGTTGCCAAGTGTCTGAATTTTGATCAGATGATCATGAATGCTAAAACAGTTGTAATTGTGAAAAACAGTCATCAGTCACTTTTTTTAGTGCCTATAACTATAAAGCTATACATAAAGACACATGGAAAAACAAATGACTAGTATCCTAAAGGAGAATGAAGTTTATTTTCAATAGATTGTGAAATAAACAAGTGAGAAAGAGAAAAAAAAGACTGAAAAATTCCTGTATTTGTTTTAAGTAATATGCAACGTTAAAAAAAAAACCTGCAATAACCCTAGCATTTTATTGACTTCCTGTTAAAATAATCACTGCTTGTGCATGTCAAATGTATAGCAGGAGAATGATACTTTTTGAAAATGGTAGATCAAACGCAGATCCTATTTCAGCATGAACAAACATAGAGGAGGGTAGGCCAAGAGGGCTTAACAGAACTGAGAGATGAGGGGAGATAGAGCATTCATGGATGCCAAGGTTAAATAAACAACAACTGATATTTCCTTACCACTGTGACCTTTGAAATTTTCTTAAGAACAAATATCAGCTTATTTGGAGATAGCTATATAGAAGAATAAATTATTTAATGACAAATTTTATTGACAACTGTGGATAGAGATCCTTGAATTTTTCAAGGAAATTTCTGTTTAGAGAGGATAGAAGTGACCAATAACTTACATGCATTAAGATGCTTTATATCCATACTATAATTTATGATGGCTCCCAATTTCATTTTGCCAATCTTCTTTTTAAAAAAATGCAAATGACTTTTATTAATCTCTTTTAAATCACAGAAGAAGGCCTAGATTTGAAATTCTTGTTTCCCTTGTTGGAAAATGGCCTGATAAAATGTGTTTGATCTATAAGCATTGAGAATCCATAAATAGTAGAAGCTTCTTTTGAGAATATATCTTGACAGCAATTCTACCCGCTGCAGCCAAGAGACTAGTCTGTTTAAAAGGAACTTAATCATTTTCAAATGGAATTTTTGCTTTGAGTTGCAAGCACATCCTTTACTGATATGTAAATTATGTCAACTCTATCCCAAATTGCTTATTTTATTCAACTTTTCCATTAGTATTCATGATCCATCAAAACGTATTGAATATTAGTGCAAAATTAGAGCCAATTATACATACTGGATTCCATCTACAAGGTTAAATTTAATCCAATGGAAAACTTATAAGACATTTGCTTAAAACTCAAATTCTTCAAGCAAATATTCTTTAAAGTTCTTAAATTCAATGTTCTTTTAACATGGAAGAATTAAAGTTATCATTATAAAAATATTTATTGTTGGCTTTGTTTTTAACTGTGATAAATTAATAGGATGAATTTGCTGTAGTACAACTCAAACAGCAGTAATCTACTCAAAGCTGTAATCCAAAGCCAATTTACTTGGGAAGATTTGCCAAAAAGATTTTGTAAGCCTGGATTTCTCAGAAGTCCAAAAGCATATTTTCAAGGGAAAACTAGATTTTTATTTACCTTCTAGATCTCTCTTTAGTTTTCTTAAATCTTTTACAAGGTCTTCAAATTTTACTTGTGATGCTTGGAAGAAATCCTGAGGCTCTGGCAATGGAAATACACTATTTTCTGTTCCTGCTTCCTAAACAAGAAAGTTAAAAACAATAACTGCAAAAATGCCATAAGTCCCACTGAAACATATATGTTTCCTTAATTATAAATATAAATAAATGATGTAAGTTGGAAAAAAAAACCTTTCCCCTGAAGACATATTGGAATTCCCCAATGAAATGCTTTTGATTTCCAAATTATATTTGAAGTACATAATAATTGTAATATTTAGCATCTTCTTCGTTAAAGACAGCTCACCATGCTAATAAAACTTCATTGTATTGTATTTATTATAGTGTATGCCTTTATAATTGCACAGCTTTTACCCTCTTTCATACCTCTTTCTGCCTCGTTGTGGAATTTCTTGCCAAAAATTATAAAATTCATTTTTGGTTATCTTTTAACTGGCAGGTATCTGATGGACAAACTCTGTGGTTCCTGATATAAAGTTTATTTGACTGAATGCAGACTGTTTTATCAATGTTGTTTTTGTGGGTGTTTGAACTAGGCTTTAATGGTTCTTAATTATTTGATAGCAAGCTATTATTGTTAGAGATGCAGAATATAAATCCAATGAATAAATTGATAAATAAGCTACCATCTTTGTTCAGAGAGAATAAATCTGAGAAACATCTAGCTTTTGTGATGTCCACAGATGGCTGATGACACCCAAATTTATGTCTGGCAATGTTATTTATTTCCACAGTTCCCTAAATGAGGAGAATGTCAAAAGTGTCTAGTTAATGAATAGTAACTTTTCCAGTCATCACGGAAATGTTTTCTCTGTTTATTCATTCATCTTATCCTTGGCACCTAATTGAAAAGCATTGCTAGCATGCAAGGAAAACAAAGATACAAAGTTATCTTTGCATAAGCAAATCCTAATTTTTAACTGTAATTTAACGGTTTATAACTGTGTTTTGCCATTTATAGAGAAGTTTTATGCAAGAATAAATAAAAGGGATGATTTAGAAATACTTCCTTTTCTTATTTTATTTCATGTGCTATTACTCATGCTATCACAACTCTTTGAAGAAGATTTGAGGGGTGCTCCAGGAAGAATTAAACCCCCAACTTTTATTTTCTACTTATGGAAATCTTCAGTCCATCATAAAATTTGGGTCTGTAGAAGTTCAGTTTCAATGTCTTGGCGCTGGAAAGTTAAAATATAGTTCTCTGTAGTGTTTATTATATTAATATCCTATTGATTATTAATCTGATTTTTGTATATCTAGTTGTTGTGGCCCTGACTCCCGAGCCTATGCTGTCAGAGGAAGAGGACCTGGAAGATGAGGGGGAGGAACTGGCAATGCCTTCCTCCCCAGGACCTTCCTCCCTGGCAATGCCTTCCTCCCTAGGACCTTCCTCCCTGCCAATGCCTTCCTCCCTGGTAATGCCTCAGGTTCCATCAGACAACTGAGAGGAACAGCCTGAGATGAATCAGGAGGAAGGCATGTCGGAGCAGCCCCTGACAGGGAGTGTAGAGGAGGAGTCTTGGCTAGACCCCAAGCAGCATCGTAGGGAGAAACGCGAGCAGCAACGTAGGAGGCGTGGGAGGGTCAGAGAGTGAGCTGAGTCACTGAGCCACACCCCACAGAGGCTAAAAGTGGGTGTGCTTTCTCCTTAAACTTTGTACAGGACAAAGTTTAACTTACTTTAGACTTTATTCGTGACTATGTGGGAAGAACGATTGTTTTGTGGACTGCCTTGTGTTTTGTGAAGTAAAAGACCCATTTCCCTCTGTGTGAGTAAGACTTTGATTTACAATTGCTGCCAGCTCAGACATGGCAGACAGGACGTAGTGGGATGCCAAAAATGTTATCAGTTACAGAGGATTTGCTCTGCGAAGTTCGAGCCAGCTTGCCTGTCTGTGTTTGTGTGTGTGTATAATCCCTTACCTTTTGGGGGAAAGGGTAGGGGAGACAGAACATCTAGTGAAGTATTCAAATAAAGGCTTTAAATGTTTCTTGAATCTAAGAAAAGTTATGTGACTAGATCTACAAATTGCTCCCTTCAAAATATAGTTGGTATTAAAATTATGAAAGATTGCAAGTGTGGTTAAATTAAACTTCCTTGCAAAAGTAGAATTTTGAAAAATATTTTAATGTTATCAAGTCTCATACTTTTTAATATGTATTATTTAACCTATTTGTTATCAATAAATGAATTTCTATTAATACATTTTTAAGGATAACAATAATCTTCTTTGTAAATCAGTATATATATGAATTATTAGGCAATGTAAAATCATTCAACTGTTTATTCATACTACTATGCATTATTAATCTGAATATTCTGATATATATATGTGTGTAATTCATTTTAGAAAATTTATATGGCTGCCTACTCGCACATAGTGACTCAAGGTGGCTTACACGGATATAAAGACACCATATAAAAGAAATAAAGATAATAAAAAGAAAAATAATAAAATAGTAAGTTAACAAAATAATAACCCCCCTCTCCACCTTGGCGACAACACACATTCATACAAACTGTTTAATTGGGCTTCAGTCTGCTCTGGGTTCTCCAGGTCCACTGGCAGAACAATGTCTTCAGAGCCTTACAAAAGAGTGTTAGAGTAGGGACCAGTCTAATCTAATGAGACTAATGAGTAGCGTAGCTGGTTAATTAGGAACCTGGATAATATTCTGTCCCACTTTGAAGGACAGCCACTTTCCAGTTTCATCTGCCTCTTCTACCAGATCAAAGAACAGAGATGTTATGGGTTCCATCGTCTTTTATCTCTTAATGGGGAGTTATATTTAGCAGGCCTAAGTGACAAATTTTTTTCTGTGAGGGTACCAGCACGGTTGAAATCTTCTCCCCTCTGAGGTGAGATTGGCCTTGTCCCTGTTGAACTTGAGGTTTCTCAAGACTGATTATGCCAGCAGGTTTGAGACCTCAGGAGAACGGTGATAGAGTTATAATTGTAAATGTAATTTTAATTGTTTTTATATTTCTTTTTTTACTGTTTGTAAGTGGCCCAGAATTGTCTAGGAGTGGTACATAAATTTAAATATAAGTTCAAAATAAGTATATAAACTAGTGAAGTGGCTCTGCTATTTTTAACAATTTTTCATTTGTTATTCTTTTCAACAAGGATCCCACACCCACAAGGGTTTTTTTTTTTTGGAATTAGGAGACATAGGAAGACAAGTAAAACTATTCATGTAATTTATGTTCCAACTTTAATCCAAGATACATGAAAAAAAGAAAAGTCAAAATAAGACAATAGGTTTAATTTTTCTCAGTTATGTGATAGCATGCTATCCTTACCCTTCCTGTTTCTTTTATCATATAGGAATGGGATGAACCTAACTCTACAACACCTTCTTTAAATAATATACAACACACAGTAATTGATAAAAACTTACCTTATCACAATGTCGTAGGTAATAAATAACAACATAATCTGCAAGGCTGATTCCTGTTTCCTAAAAAAGGGAGAAATGAAAAATAAGATTTCAAAATATCAGAAAATGTGGAATATGAACATAAAAAATATAGGTTCAAAAAGATTTTTATTGTAATTTATACTTCCTAAACTCTTAATAAGGATGAAGTGACCACAAACTCTGTGAAAACTAATTTATAATAGTAAATAGTATAAATAATTAATAGTAAATTGCTACTATTTTCTATTATTGTTGTATTTTCAGGCACTCTCTTTTCAACAACTTAAAGAGTCTTAAGAAACTCATCCAAGAAACTTTTATCTCTTAATGGGGATAATACAGAATCAATAGGTTTATAAAGTTTTTGTCATATTGTGGCTCGTTCTGTCATATAAAAGTGTTGCTTGTCATGATCAGTAATGACTTGGACATGGCCTCAGTTGAAACGAGGCCATCTGAATCTGTAACATCATCCACCAAAGCACCATTCTAAAACTTGTCAGAAGCCCAGAAAATGGGATTCTCAGGCTCACCTCTCCTTTCCTGTTCGGTATGTACACACACTGAGTAATTGGGCTTGGCAAGAATATTATATAAGTATCAATGGAAATTATTTTCCATCTGAATTTAAAACATGGTAGAGATCACAGAATTCATGATGGAGATTTTAATTCTTCTCAGATCTCTCGCAGAAATATTAGGTTGTGAGGGGAAGCTACCAGAGAAAAGAAACCAAGACATTAAAAGGTTAGAAGAATCAGCTGGGCATGGTTAGCCTAGGCTTCCCTAAATCTGCAAAGAGACATTATCTCTTTCTGAATATCTAAAAAACTGGCATGTAAAAGGTGAAGCAGATGTGTTCAAAGTTGTTCCAAAAATAGTACAGGAAACTATTTGGATTTCAACTGGGCGTAGAGAAAAAAAATGTACCCGTAAGATAATGCAGGTGCTGCAATAGAATCTGGATGGCCATGGCAGGGGAATGGATTAGATGATCTCCAAAGTTTACACTGCATGATCTATGATTCTGTTGTAATACAATTGCCACGAAGGACAAGTCATTTTCAAAAAATTATAGACATTTCTCCTTCTAACTGCACTGCACCATCAAGGCCAGAGAGCCAGTTTGGTCTAATGGTTTAAGGCACCAGGCTAGAAACCAGGAGACTGAGTTCTAATCTCACTTAAGGCATGAAAGCCAGATGAGTGACTTGGGCCTGTCCCTCTCTCTCACCCTAACTCACCTCACAGGGTTGATTTTTTGTGGGGAAAACAGGGGGAGGAAAGAGTATTAAGTATGTTCACTGCCTTGAGTTATAACATTGTGTATAAAGCCTTCTATGGACCATTGCCGGTTTTTAACAGTCTAAATTATCATAGAGGGGCAGGACCTAGAGAAAGGCCGGTATGAGGGATATCTATGGATTCTTCATTTCTACTCCCAAGAATTCAGTCACAACTAGCCCTCATTAGTAATACTGCAGGCTTCCCTAGGATCTGTCCAGGGTTCTGAAGGATATGTCCTTCAGCAGGCTTAGTTTCTGACCTCATCCTGAATGGCTTCTTGTTTATTCATCCCTTGCCCGTGCCCCCTTGCTTCAGATCACTACCTGATGTGTCTATCTTATAATGTAGAAGTAAACAATATCAAAAAAATTTAGAACATTCACAGTGATGCAGTGTCAGGGGGAGGCACTATGCTTTTCAAACCATTGCTTAATTGAACATAGAAATTCCACTCCACCATCATCAGTCCCCCCCAAAAGAAGCATTTTGGATTAATGACAGTTTTGTACAAATAATCATCAACTTACATCAGTTTGTTTAGAGAAAGTTACAACAGCACTGAAAAAAGGGACTTCAGATTTACAACTGTTGCAGCATCCCCCATAATCGCTGATCAAAAATCAGACAGTTGGCAACTGACTCATATTTATGATGATTGCAGTGTCATAGGATTACCTTCTGTGATCTTTTGACAAGCAAAATCAATGGGGAAGCCAGATTCACAACAACTGTTAATAGTAAAATAGAGTAATAAAAGATATGCCTCAATTACCATATGCATAGACTAAGGAAGATTACCTTGATGGAAATATATAGGAACTATTATTTAGAAAAAAAAATATGGCTGACATGTAAGAGTATGTTATTATAGCCAATTTCAATAAAAGTAGTTTTATCCTTCATCCAGAATTAATTTTCAGGTTTGGTCTACCTGATAGGTCTGACATTATGGACAAGTACTTGTCTCACTTGTAAGTAAAAACAACAGCAAAGAGAAGGAAAACATTATTCTTTCATAGACCTATAGGGATTTGCAGCAAGGGGAAGGAGAAAAATGACAAAGCACACAGCACAATGTTGTAACACAAACTCCAATCCTTACATACATGTATGTGACATTATCACTCAAATACAAAAGAGTTGAGTGTGCATTATGATGTCATAACATATATTTTGTCATTTTAGTGTCATTTCTGTTAGGAGCAGATGTCTATCCACAAAACATTGCCTGCTAATTGAAAGATTGAATACAATTAAAAATATTGATTTAAACTGCATGCTGTACTTACTCTACTTTTAACATCTTTTAGTTTGGGAAGTATTTCTAAGCCAAATCCATCTGCTTGACCACGTGTTCGGTTTCCTCCATTCATATAATTTCCAAAAGCCAGAATCAAAGCTAAAATATTTTTCACACTTTTCATTGTAATCAACTCCTGAAAAAGATAGCCAGAATTTATAATATCAGAAAAATATTACATGAAGAAATATTTTAATGTTAGTTTTTCTTTATAAATCTATACAGTGAAATATACTAACAAAGAAATGCTGTAATGCTGAAGGTTTTAAAATCAATTCTGGGCCATGAAATTATTTTAAGAGCCCACATTGCTCAAGTTAATAAAATATTGAATCCAACATTTTTTAGCTAGAAAGTTAATTGAATGGCTTTGGGCCTATTATTATTATAGACCCATAGTAGCGCAGTAATTAGAATTGCAGTAATTCAGGCTAACTCTGCTGACTGCCAGGAGTTCAATCCTGAACAGCTCAAGGTTGACTCAGCCTTCCATCTTTCTAAGGTTGGTAAAATGAGGACCCAGATTGCTGGGGGCAATATGCTGACTCTGTAAACCACTCAAAGAGGCCAATAAAGTACTATGAAGCGGTATATAAATCTAAGTGCTATTGCTATTATTAAACCTTTAATTATTTCAGTCATTGAAGAGATTAACATGGAGGGCCATATATATCACACATACTTTTTAAAGTAGATGAGTTTTAGATGCAGCATATAGAAATAATTTAAAATGTTGATATTTAGTCTGCTTTAACATTATTAGCTGCTAAAGGAAACACCTGATAAATGTTCTGCATAATAAATGAATATAGCAATCCCAGACTTCAACAAAAAGTGAACAAAGCACAGACAAAATTGAAGGGTGCTTGGGAGGGCGGAGCTGGCATCCTGACGATACGGCATGCGATCTTGGAGGTCTGAGATCGCTGCCGATATCTTTGCTCCTGGACGGTCCTATCAGATCTAAACCATCCCGAAGAGACGGTGAAAGTGAAGAGCGCATCCTGTCGATCCCAAGGATACCGCAAAGTCCCTGGTAGATCCAGGAGAAGCTCTTCTTGCCAGCGGCAAAGAGGCAGCCATTAAAGCTGCTGAAGTTGGGACACCTCCGAAACAAAAGAGAATGGAAAGAGAAGGTGTGCCAGTTTGGTGAGAACTTTTTCTTTATTCTAAGATCTGAAAGGACACCCTAAGGAAAAGAAAGAATCTGTAAAAGTTTTGACAGAAGTGATTAAGCAGCGATTTTGAACAGGAATGTCAAAGTAATGTTTTTTTTTTCATTGCTGGATTTTCTATACACGATCTTACATTTTGAAACTGGACTGGTTTTTTCTTTTACATCTATTTTTTTTTCTCCTTTTTGATTTTGTAATATTTTAGGCTAGAGGCTCCCTTTTAGTTATTTCTTTTTTTTAAATATCTTTTTCTTTTTTTATTAATTCTTATTATATCTTGCTTGGAAAAGGAGGGGGAAAGTGAGAGCAAAGAAACTTTGTAACACTGCCAACTAGAGGCTTGAAAATATTCTATTTCCCTGTGACCAGACAAAGCTGAGAAAGAAAGAACTGAGACTTTTTTTCAAGGACATTGCTATTTGATAAGATAGAGGGAAGAGCATGGGAGAGTATTATTGCAGGTGCTCTTCTGGGTTTCTATCAACAGCTGGAGTCTGGTGTTGAAATCTAGGGGAAAAAAAGGTTATAAGTTTTTGGAGAAGAGAGCTATAATAAGAGCTTTGGATAATTAAACAAAGTGCAGTGTGCTTTTTTTACTTTTTCGAAGTTGTGCTATCCCTCCTCACCAGCTTTATTGTATTTCATTTTATCTTTTTTTTTCTTGTAATAACTATTTGGGTTTTTGGCTTTGTTGGAGCTTGTCTTTGTTTTTCTTTTTTTCTTTCGAAGTCCAATCTCTACGTTTGCTTTTTATTTTAAAGGGAAAGCTTTAGTATTAATGTTTTTTTGTTTTTTTAAGGGAATAGCCTTTTTCCCCCCTTTCCTGGTATTTTTGTTTTTTCATCTACCTTTCTGGTTTATTATTATGCACTCTTTTCTATTTGAGACCTTTCAATTGGATTAAGGTGTTGAAGAACCTGAATAATTTTTCCTTTTCCTTTTTTTCCTTTTTTTCCCCAAGCCTTTTTATTCATCTAACTACTGATTGGATTAAGGTATACAAGAACCTGAAGAAATTTTGTCCTCCCTTTTTTTCCTTTTTAAAAATCATTATTATTGGGCTTCTTTTTTCTACTATTTTTATTTTGAATTATAATTGGTTACTTCACAATTGGATTAAGGTTTAGAAGAACCTGAAGATTTTGAATTGCTTAAAATGAGTAGGAAATTTACAGCTCCTGGTTCTTCAACTTCTACTTCTTCCTCTCCACCATCTGGAGGACAACGTTCAATACAGACAATGTTAAAGCAAGAAAAAGAACAAGAAAAAGTGACTCTGCAGATGATTATGCAAGGAATTCAAAATATTCAAGCAAGATCAGAGAATATTGAAAAGAGAATAGAGAACATTGAACAAAGAACAGAGAACATTGAACAAAGAACAGAGAACATTGAACAAAGAACAGGGAAAACCGATGAAAAAGTGGAGAACATCCAACAAATGATGTTGAAGTATGATGAGAGATTCCAAAAAATTGAAGAAGATAAACAAAGAGACAAGAAGATTGGTGATATTGATAATAGATTAACGGTGGTTGAACAAGATAAAAGTGGTATGTTGAGATGGGAGATGGATAGATCAGAATTCTATCTTAGATTCCAAAACGTAGAGGAAGAAAAAGGACAAAACTTAGCTGAGATAATGATAGAAATACTGGCTGAAGCTTTGGAAATAACTCAAGAGAAGATGATGGATGGAATAGATGAGGTTTATCGAGTTTTCACAAGATATGCGATGAGAAATAGCTTACCAAGAGAAGTTCATATTAGATTTACAAAGAAAGCCATTAAAATGCAAATATTGCAAGTGGCAAAAGAGAAAACACTGAAATATAAAGACAAGGAGATTGTGGTCTTGAAACAAATACCCAGAAGAGTGAGAGAGATGAGAAGAGAATACCGATTCCTGACTAAAATGCTACTTAAAAAAGAGGTGAATTATAGATGGCTGATTCCAGAAGGTTTAATGTTCACATGGCAAGAACAGAGACATAGAATTGACTCAATTGAGAAAGCGGAATTATTTTATACAGAATTTTTTGGAGGGAAAGAGGAAGAGGCAGAAAAAGAGACCTCACTAATTGAATTCCAAGAGGACTGCCAAATGGCAACTGAAAAAGAAGAAGGTGCAGTAGGTGGAAAGGTGGAAGCCAAAGAACAACGTGAACTAAGATCTACGAGGGCTGCTAAACTTAACTACAAAATATAATCATGGAAGAGAAAAAATTGATTACAATTAATATAAATGGACTTAACTCAGCCGTTAAAAGAAGGAAAACCTTTCATAAATTAGAGAAATTAAAATTTGATATAATTTGTCTACAAGAAGTACATATTAAAAAACAATATGAACAATTGTTGATACAGCCAAAATTAGGGAAAATATTTACTTCCTTGACACAATGTAAGAAAAGAGGAGTGGTTTTATATATTAAAGAGACCACCCCAGCAAAATTAATTTATATCAATGATGATGGAAGAATACTAATGGTGGAAATAATGGACAATAATATGAAAACACTCCTGATTGCAATCTATGTTCCGAATGACAAACAAAAAGAATTCTACAAAAAATTACATATGAAAATAATTGAACTGGACTATGCTAATATAGTTATGATGGGAGATTTTAATGGAATTGTAGACAATAAATTGGACTATACAGCACAGAAAACAATAAAGCAAAACAGAAAGACTCTCCCTAAATCTTTTTTTTAAATGGTAGATGAAATAAACTTAAAAGATACATGGAGAGAAAGAAATGCTAAAACTAAACAATACACCTTCTATTCAAATAGACACTTATCATGGTCCAGAATAGATATGATATGGATGTCAACAGAATTAATAACTAATGTTCAAGAAATAAATATTGAAACAAGTACTTGGGCAGATCACAATCCAATGACAATTAAATGGAAAGGACAAAGAAGAAGATCTAGATGGACGTTAAATAATACTATTTTAAAGGAAAAAAACTTCACACAGTGGATGGAGAAAGAATTGGCTTTTTTCTTTAGAGAAAACAAAAAAGAAGATACATCAATTCAGAATGTATGGGATACAATGAAGGCATATGTTAGAGGCTTGGTAATAGACTATACAAGGAAAAGAAATACTATGAAAAGATTAGCCTCTAAGGCCTTAGAGGATGAGTATAAAAGACTTGAAAAAGAGCTACAGAAAATGCCACAGAAAAAGGACATCAAGCTAAAAATGGATCTAATTAAACATAAAATGGGTCAAATAGAAAAAGAAGAATTAGCACAGAAAATTAGAGGTGCTAAACAGAACTACTTTGAAGACGCAAACAAACCAGGTAGATGGTTAGCATACAAATTGAGAAAGGAGAAAGAATGAAGGAAAATATTGCAATTAATAAATGACCAAAGCCAAGTTTGCCATGGTAGTAAAGAGAGGAAGGAAATCATTCAAGACTTCTATGGGAAATTATATATGCAAGAGAATATTGATGAGGAAAGAGTTAAACAGTACTTACAGAATGCTCATTTACCTCAGATACCTAAAGAGATTGAAACAATGTTAGAAAGCAATATAACGATGATGGAGTTAACTGAAGCACTCAAGAAGCAAAATAATGGAAAGGCACCAGGCCTAGATGGACTTGCGGCAGAATTTTACAAAACATTACAAGAATCGTTGAATCTTCCATTGCTAGAAGTTATGAATGAAGTTATGTTAAAGAAGAAGATACCTAAATCATGGTCAGAAGCCTATATTACACTTATTCCAAAAGAAGAGGCCGATCCATTACAAATTAAGAACTATAGACCCATTTCTCTACTAAATGCAGATTATAAAATTTTTGCTTCAATATTGGCAGAAAGACTTAAAAAATATTTAAATAATTTTATTCATCCTGATCAAAATGGATTTCTGCCAAAGAGACAAATTAAAGACAATATGAGAGTAATCGTGGTCACCTTGGAATACTACAAGGCACATCCTGAAAAACAAATGGCTCTGATATTTCTAGATGCACAGAAGGCATTTGATAATGTGAATTGGCGATTCATGTTATTACTGTTGGAACAGATGGGTTTTGCTAGAAAATTTGTTCAAGCAATAGAAGCTATATACTATAAGCAAATGGCAAATGTAATGATAGAGGGAGAACTGACAGACTCTATCAATATAAGAAAAGGAACAAGACAAGGGTGCCCACTATCACCTTTGTTGTTTGTGTTAACTTTGGAAGTGCTAAACAGAAATATTAGAGATGAAAATAATATAAAAGGAATGAAAATCAAAAAGGAAGAATTTAAGCTGCAAGCATTTGCAGATGATCTGGTTTTCATCTTAGAAGACCCTTTAGAAACAGCATCAAAATTGATAGAAAAGATAGAGAAATATGGAAAGGTGGCTGGTTTGAAAATAAATAAAGATAAGGCAAAGATCTTGACAAAGAATATGCTATTAAGACAAAAGGAAGAACTGGCAGACCTATTGAAAATTCAGGTCACGAATAAGATCAAGTACTTGGGGATATATTTGACAGCAAGACGTAGTACACTAAAAGAGATAATTATATCAAACTTAAACAGCAGATAGCGCTAGATCTGGCGAAATGGGAAAATTTACAACTGTCAGTAATAGGGAGAATTTCAACAATCAAGATGAATATATTACCCAGAATTTTATATTTGTTTCAAACAATTCCAATTAGGCTTGGAAAAGACTACTTTGAAGATTTAAATAAAATTGTGTTGAAATATATATGGCAAGGTAAGAAAGCGAGAATAAAGTTAAAACTTTTGCAAGATGCTAGAATTAGAGGAGGATTTGGTTTGCCTAATTGGGAGTTGTACTATCAAGCTACAAATCTGATGTGGGTTAAAGAATGGATAACACTAAGAAATGCTAGATTGTTGACATTAGAAGGACATGATCTGTTGCTGGGGTGGCATGCTTTTTTATGGTATAAAGGAACTAAAACACAGGGGTACTTTAGAAGACATTATATACGGGAGTCTCTGTGGTTAAACTGGGAGAAGATTAAAAGACAATGTTATTTGAAAATTCCAGTCTGGCTATCTACTATTGAAGCATTTTCTTATCCTATAATATACAAAAAGGAACAAACAGTTAGATATGGTGAAATATTGAATGAAAAGGGTGAACTCAAATCTATACAAAAACTAGAGGAACAAGGTATAAAGATGAATTGGTTTTCATATGCGCAAATACATTCAAGGTATGATAAAGATTCTAAAATGGAAGGTTTCTATGATAAATTGACTGATTTAGATAAGATTTTGACAGGTACTGATGAAAAGGTGATTAAAAAATTGTATGGATATTTATTAGAAATTAAATTAGAAGAAGAACAAGTTAAAGAAACTATGATTGCTTGGGGGAAGAATTTTGGATATGGGATTGATTTAGAGAAATGGCAAAAATTGTGGTCTCAAAATTATAAAATGACAATGTCAACAGCATATAAAGAAAATTTGTATAAGATGTTTTACAGGTAGCATTTTCCCCTGACAAGAATAGCAAGAATGTTCAAGAATAAATCCGAAAAATGTTGGAAATGTCATCAGACACCTGGCTCATATTACCATATGTGGTGGACTTGTGCGGATGCTAAAAAATACTGGACTAAAATCCACATGTGGTTGGAAAAAATGACAAAAAACATATAGACTTGAAACCAGAGATATTTTTATTGGGAATTTTACCTGAAATATATAGTAAAGACTTGAAATATCTGATTGTAAATGTATTAACAGTGGCTAGGATTGTATTTGCCAAAAATTGGAAAAATGAGAAAACACCAGCACAGGAGGAAATCATTAAGAAAATATTGGAATGTGCTGAAATGAGTAGATTGACATTTGAAATTAGAGAACAAGAGGATAAACAATTTTATAAAATTTGGGATCTATTCTATCAATGGTTAGACAATAAAATACAGTAATGAAATATGTAGACTTTTAGAAAATAATAAATATATAAAGATGTACTTCTTTCTTATTATATCTACAAAATGATTTTAGGATAGATTTGGGATGATAATATGAACTGTTATAAAATAACCTAAGTAAATTATGATTATCTTGTAAAACATGAATGAATAAAAGTATAGTCACAATGATTGATTAATAATGATACTAAGGTATTTAATTTTTGATTGAAAATATGAGATTATATGCAATGTAATTGTAATTGAAGACTACGAAATGGAAGCACAAAACAATTTGTAAACCAACCGGCACACTGGATGTACACATATGGAAGATAGCTTGATGTTTTTATGTTTTGTTTGTTTATGTTTGTTTTTAAAAACCAATAAAAACTAAAAACTAAAAAAAAAGAAAAGAAAAGAAAAATTAAAAATTAAATTTTTTTTTTTTAAAAAGGTGCTTGTGTTATGTGGATCTCACTTGAAGATCTGCATTTTGTACCAGAAGTACAAAATAACTTTTGCATCAAGAGTTAAGTCTTGACGTGGTGTTGCTTTCTTTGCTATCCTGACAAGTCCCAGGTCAGTTTCTCCACCTTAATCCACTTGAAGGATTGGGATTCAAAGGGAGGGTTAACTTCCAAAAGAGGTGCAAACACAAAAAAGGGCAAGAACCTCCCTATTTCCTCTCTAGTAGTCTTTGAATTTGAAATCTTTTGGATTCAGAAATTCTCTTCCCTCTGCTTGTAGGTATGTAGGGTTACACTAGGTTTGTTGAGTGGTGACCAGTGGAAACCCTCAACCCTATTGAGGAATATAGGTTAAGTCAGATAAATAAATTTACTTTGGGACCATTAGGTAGTGACTTAGGCCTCAGCCCTTTTTTATGCAGTAGACAAGTAAATGAAGTTCAAACTGCAACTTTGAAGCAATGTAATAATTGGTGTCATGGATCCAACCAAGTATAAACACAAAAAATATTGTAAACATTACCAAATTTAAAATAAATCTGCAAAAACAACATTCAAACTCAGAAAAATAAGGAATTTTTTTTAAAAAAGAACATTGTTTTCTGTTTCAAAAGTTTATCTGAGAACCAAATGCCTATTGTAGATTCATGAAAGCTGTTCTGACCTTGGATCTCTTTGGAGCCTGTCAGTGTTGAAACCGATACAGAACTTTGCTTTGGTCATTTGAAAATAAACATTTGCAAGATCCATTTATTATGACCTAAGCATTCATAGATGTAAGAGAAAGCTTATAGTATGCCATAATAAATTAGCTGGATTTCCCTATTGTAATTGCAACAATTTGGAATATATTTTTTCATTTATGATTTTACATACATTTTTGTGCTACTGTATTTTATATAAATAAGATATTAATTTAATTTAAATATAGAAATATTTAAGGTGTTTACATTTTTTGATAGAAAGTCATTTTGACCTAAAATATCTGGCATTCATAAAGACTATAAAATCAGAAAATGATATCTGTTAGGAAGCACATTATCAATTACTTTAACTAGACTTGAATCAATTTTCTGTCATCTTTACTCAGAAATAGTCACGTTCAATGAAAGAAAATAAACCTTAGAGTGTTACAAATTGTATCCCAAGTACCTTACAAACATGATGAATAATGTCAACTTTATGATGAACTGCAATTATCCCTTCATTGAAGACAGATTGAAAGATTATACATTGGGCACGTTCAGCAAAGTTGGAGATCTGAGATAACTCATATAAAAATCTGTGAAAATAGGAGCAAATATGTATATTTCAATCAAGTGATTGCATTTTACCTTATATAATCCAACATATCAGAGAAATATTGACAATACATAAAATGAGTTCTTGCTATGATTTAAACTGCGGGTAAAATAAACAATCTTTTGATCTTTATTGAAAAAGATAAATTCAATATTCCAGCACAGTTTATCACAAATACAGTCTGAAAGAAATAGAAAGGTAGAGATACCACCCTCTGCTGGAGAGAAACAAAACTAAAAACAAAAGTTCTAGTTCCATTGTGGTTATATGACATTTCAGTAAGCATCCCATGACAATTTTATCATTCTCAGGCTTATTCCTAAAAATAATTAATCCTCAAAATAAAAACTTTAAAAAAACTTTGATCCTGTTCTATTTAATATAACATAACCATTCTACTTTCAATAATATGGATCTACTCAAAAGTAAATCCTGCTTACTTCCATAGGGTAGCAAAGTAGATACGAGATTGTATCTTAAACTTCTATCAAGGGTAGCAAAGTAAATACAAGATTGTATCTTAAACTTCTATCAAAAGTTGATGTTTTGAGTCTTGAGACTGACTCTACATAACACTTTTAGGTATGATGTTAACAACATTAATCATCCATACTATTACAGTTAATTGCCTTGGTTGGGGATCACTGGAATTATATTGAGTCTCCTTCTGTCCTTCTATGATTGGGGCCTTGACAAGGTGAAGGGGCTTGTGTGGGTAAATGAAATCAGGGCCTATGTCGTCGGACATGTATATGTCTAGAAGGGTCTCCCAAGGCGCACAGGCCATGATGGATACCCCAGACTAACTGATCACATCTGCCAACCCACATTGAACTAACATGGCAGATTATGGTCTAATCTTTCCACATGCCAATACAACCTCAAACATAGCTACTCATTTTCCAGAGGCCTGGGTTAAATCAGGCTGGACTTTGGATATAGGAACAGTCAACATTCGAACAATGAAAACGGATGCTCGACTAGAAGAACTGCTGATTGAACTAACAATATGCATTGGGATATCATAAGATTACATGAAACAAGATGAAAAGGTGAAAAGTTAGTTGAACTTAAAAAAATTGGGCATTTACTCTACACTAGAGGTACTGAAGATGGACAATGTGGCAGAGTTGGTTTATTCATCAACCAAAACCTGAAAGACTCTGCAGTAAGATTTGAAAGTATATCAGACAGAGTAGCCCAATGCATCATTCAACTGAACAAACAATACAAGCTTCAAATCATCAAAGCTTACACACCAACAATAAGCTATAGTGATGATGAGATTGAAGAGTTTTGCGATGATGTGTCCCACTTCAAGACAAAGAAAAAAGCTGATACAAAATACTAATGGGTGACTTTAATGCAAGAATAGGGAAAAAATACCTGGACAAAAAGCAACTGTCCCGTATGGAAGTGGTGAACGAGATAATAGAGGCAACAGACTAGTAGATTTGGCTGGTAGATATCATCAAGAGAGTAAAAGAACTGAAATGGAAATGGGTTGGTCACATAGCAAGAAGAATTGATGCCAAGTGGACCATTAAGGCAATCATAGAATGGATCCCACTTGATAAAAAGCATCCATAAAAGAGACCTAAAACAAGATGGATCGATGTCATCAGCAAGTATTGCGGGCCCAGTTGGCAAAAGAAAGCTCAGGACTGTATTGGTTGGAAACATGTAGAAGAAGCCTTCATCCTGCAGTGGATAGACAATGGCTAAAAATGATGACAACAATGGCTAAGATGATACTGATGCTGATATACTAAGTATGCCATGCTTTTACTTTGCTTTAGATCCCGTGAAGGCTCCTTATCTGAAATTTAGTTTTTATTATTATTAGAAAATCATCTTACTAATATTACTTTGCTGGGAATTGGTTGCTGTTTGAGATTATTTTACTGCTTTCAAGAACAATTCTTATTTTGAGAATAACCAAACCTCATTATATAAATCATGAAGATTTCCATAGAGACAAAGGATATCAACGTTTTAATCAGTTATGCATTAATTAAACTGAAGTAGAATTCTGGCTCTAATTTAGTGTAGCATCTTCCTTTGTTGTGATCTTTGTATTTATATAAGGATTAAACATCATATTTGTTCTACCTTTCTGTGGATGCAATATAACTGGTAAAATATAAGTGTTGTCTCACGTTAGGCTTCTCACTCAGTAGGAATAGTTTAGAAAGCCAAACTGGATGTTACATACATATTTGTGGACTTTCTTAAATAAAAAGCAAGTTTGGGAGGTTGCCATATAAACTGGAAGTATCTACTTCATTGCTGACAATGGGGAAAAAGAGGTTGCAATCTTTACCAGATGCACTGAGACTCCAACCCTTGAATTCTTTCCCAACTTAGCTTTTGCAGTTTCAAAACATCTGAACAGCAGCAGGGTTTGATCATCTCCTTCTGTGGCTATGAAGGCTCTCTTTGATTAGCAGCAATAAGAATCTTTTCTCCTACTGTAGCAGATATACTGATACTGATATACCAATCCTTGAACCAGGATACATCTCTAATGTAATGCCATATACCATAACACTTTAATGCTTTTCTTGCTTTTCTTTATGAAAGCATAAGGTTCTCTCCTATTTCACCCTCTTTAAAAAAAATGGATGAAATACTTCCACTTGACAGCATGGGAAAGATAAGTTGCCTTAACTCTTCTCGTGATGCTACATGGCATCAAACATGTTATTTTAGTAACAGGAGCAACAACAGTAGCAATTACCGTACAACACTTTTGTGGTGGTTTCTACCATCTTCAAAAGGTTGCAGCCAAGATGACTGGGGTATAAGAAAAACTTCCCAAGAACACAGAATTTCAATCTGGGTTGAATTTCCAATGCTTTTTTTGTTTACGGAAAAAGGTGATAGCAACTAGGGGTGTCCTTAACCAAATATATAGCCTGATTCCAACTTAATTTTAACAGGATTGTTAAATCTATATTTTAACTAACAGGATTAGTTTGTAAATATATATTTCCTACTTTCAAAAATAATCCTGGGTAATTTGAACTCTCATTCACCTTACTTGGCATAAAAAAGGTAATGGTTTGAAATTATAATATTTTGATTAATTAAGAAATTCTCCTCCCAGATTTAGCAACGGAAGAAGCTGCCTACTTTTCCAGAATTTCTGCATTCTGAGATATTTTTTTTGCAAAAGCACAGGTAGACACCTTCTAAGACTGGGCTATCTACATCAGGTGGCAGCCTGAAGCTGATCTTGGTTTAGCTGTAAAAGCTAAGGAGAGTCAGACTAGGAAACTGCTAGGAAACCAGGAAAAAAATCAGGATTATAGGCTAGACTGGGAAACATTAAAGCCCGCATTAAAGCCTGCAGAGCACAGCAGTGGCCAAACCACTTCTACACTATTATCAAGAAAACTATGTGAACATGTTTATGAAGTCACTGAGAATCATGCTCAACCAAAGGGAAATGAAAAACCAACAATAGGGCATTTGGGAATTCCTTCAGACATGTAGTTCTGTCATAATGCTGGACCAAGCATTCTGATTTTCAAGACTGTTTTGAATGACTGGGAAATACGTGGGGCACCTTGCCCATCTGGTCTTACTGTTCAGGTTTGTCCAGAAGCTTAACTTCTTCTTCTGTTGAAGTGTCATAATGCTGCTTTATCTTTTCCAGTTCATCCTTCTGTGCTCTCTGTAGATTCAGTGACAAAAATATCAGTGAGATTATCTTTCTTATTGTGGCAGCTCGTAATATTTCTACTTTTGGAAGTATGAAAGATTGAATTAGCTTCGACAAGCATAGTTGGTTACAATAAAAACTGAGATCATCTTATATTTACATGGTGCAAAGATTGGACATCTTTGCACCATATTTAAAAGTACAAAGAAAGAAAATATATGCAGCACATACTTATATACTGTTTTTGACCTACAAGAAAAGATGTCTTCCATGACCATATTTCTTCTCCTACATTGCACCAGTTACATTGTTTGTAAAATCTTCTGTTCTGTTCTACAAACTACTGACAACATACATATACACACTGATGTCTGAATAACAAAAAGTTATTCTATGATATATATTTCAATTCATTGCCATAAATATGGAAACATAGATACAAACTTTAGTTTGGAAATCTTGATAAATTGATGAGCTTGTATAGTTGCACAAAGATATATATAATAATAATTCAAGTAATTAGATTTCTTACGCTTCCTGTAAAAAAGGAACTATTTTCCTCTTTCATTCTTCTCAAGATGTGATCAGAGATATCTATTAAACCAATCATCCAATTCCAATGCTTTATTATTAATAAAAAATGTTGTTTTCTAACAAAACAGAGAAACAACTTCAACAGTCATTTAAGAAATTTGGATTCTTAAACCATGATACATAGGCATATTGATTTCTGTTGCTCTATTAAATTATTGTGACTAAGTGCATTTACTTAATTCTAAAATATTCTAAAATGATGAAGATACTTCAGGTAATTTAATACAGATTATTACAAAATACACAAAGTGACCCAATCTGTATTATGAACACTTTTTCCAATGCCTGAAAGCTGTGAAGGTCTGGATTGGGGCTGAACAGGCTAACCCTGGCAAAATGAGTGGCTATGAGTTTTAAGACTGCCTGGCTCCAGTGATTTTGCATTGGAGGGTGCACTTCCCCAATTAGAATGATTTAGGGCTACTGCTTGATGAACAGGTAACAACTACCACTGGGAAGAAGGACTGTCGTTGTGGTTTTGATTACTGTAGCATGCTGTACATAGGACTGCCCCAGAAGAATATTTGGAAGCTGCAGCTGGTTTAGAATGCAGTTTTGTGAGCAGTTTTTAGTGTTTTGTATTACACTAATGCTGCTGTTTTGTATGAACTGGCTCTTCATAGGCTTTTTGATGAAAGATAATGGTCCAAAGCCTTGTGACAAAGGGAGAGATATGAGGTTTTACTTCTAACCCTCAAATAAACGATCAGCATTACTTACATTTTCATATAGTGCTTCCAATGTTTCTAGGTCAACTACTGAATCATCCATATTTAGTACAGCTGTTGAAATAATAAAATAACACATTAATATGCTAACTGACTTTGTTGCTTATCTGTTGCCATGCACTGAAAACACTTGGAGAATAATTTTCTTTTTTGGTTGAATGCTTCTTGTATGCTGCCAATGTCATAACTCTCCCCGAGTTAACTCTCCCACTATAAAAAGGCTACAGTTCTCTATTTTTAAAAATACATATTTTACTGACCATCTTCTCTGGAGATTGGAACAGTAGGATACATGGTAGGCGATTAGATTATTTACAATGCAGCAGAGAGCATAAATGAAACAAAAGCAAATAAAAGTATTGTGATTCTCTAATCACTTATAAGTTTTTATAGGCAAGAATTCACTCTGAACCAATGACATATTAATATGCTCTAAACATTTTTACTCATATATTCAATGCCATTAAATTTATTTCATGATCAATATATTTAATATTGATCATTATTAACTATGAGATAATAATTAGTAACATACTTAATATTAATGAAACAGAAGCAGAAGTGAGTTCAAGTCTCGTTCAAGTTCAAGCCATGAAAGCCAACTGGGTAACTTTGGGCCAATCACTCTGTCTCAGCCCAACTCACCTCACAGGGTTGTTTAGAAGGGGAAAGGTGTGCTGGATATGTTTGCTCCCTTGAATTATTTGTAAAAGTAACAAAGATGGGATATAAATAAATAAACATGTATATCGTAGCTATCTGCATACTGCCCAGATAGGTTACTTAAATATCATTTGCATGTAAAATGTTCTTTATTAGGAAATCAGAGTTGTAAGAGAAATACAACAGAAAAAAGAATGAGAAATAGTCCTTTTCTTGCTGACTGTTCTTTCCTCAACTTTGTGGGATATTGATCATCTTCTCATATTAGTTTGAGGCATCATTCACAATAGACTTACCTAATATCTATTATTTTAAACAAATTTATACCCTGCCCAGATAATCAGTCTGAAAGACAATTTTTCTGTTAATAGAGGTTTTGCATATAATAGAGCTTTTATTGTTCTGAAAAGATGAAAAAGTAGAATTTAATATAAACTGTGCACTCCTATTTAATGTAAATTGTTTATATAAATAATTATACATCAGAAAGTTATGAGTATAATGATTTTCTTATCCTTTTCCTACTTGCCAGTCTATGAGGTTCCTCAATCACACCATCTGAGGTGCAAGGGACTTTTTCAAATGGTATTGATTGAGGGGTAAGCAAGAGAACTTTGAGAAAATCAACTTTCCCCTGCCATTTCTAAATTCTTGGGTCATCTCTCTCTCTCTCTCTCTCTCTCTCTCTCTCTCTCCCTTCCTCCCTCCCTCCCTCCCTCCCCCCTCCCTCTATCCATCCATCTGTCTCTCTGAAGATCTATCATATCTCTCAGTCCAACCCACCTTAGTTGTGGGGAAAATTGGAGGAAAGAGTATTATGAATAAAACAATAATAACGGTGGAAAATAAATAAATATTATATCTGTTTCAGCGGACATAAATTACATTGGAACAGATATTTACTGTAGGAGGTATTTACTGCAGGCTGAGTCCGAGTGTGAGGTCAAATACTCCTTCAGTTGGGAGTCCCTTTTTACCCATTAAGTCCATCCTTTGTGAATTCTGTTGACTCTTATCTAGTGCCAATTTGCACTGACTGTTAATCAATTAGATTCTTTTGTATATATAGCATGTAATGAACTTGAAGTGCTTTGAACTCATCTCCTGTTCCTGGTTGCTTACGCCTGAACTTACATTGAATATATGAGTGTTATGAAATTACTTGCATTTATATTAGGTAATCCTGATTCAGTCATATTTTTTTCTGTAGAACAAATTGATTAATTTATGGACCCATTACTGCAGAATGATCCCATGCTATGCAATATTGTACTGACCATAACAGCAGTTAGCTCAGGAACAACTTGATCATTACTCCTTCAGGCAGAGTCAGTAAATAGCATTTCTGCTGAAGGCTAATTTAATTGCATTTGGATTGGGGCATTTTTTAAAACTGATGTTCCTTTCAAAAATAAAGTGATACTGAGCTATATTGGAGAACATAAAATGACTATATTGACAGAAAGTTCTCCTAGTAAAATAATCTTAAATTTGAATTAACTGCATATCAATATTGATCAAAACTTTTTTTGGCAGTTGGACAGACATATTTAGAAGTTAGATCCTGAAATGACTATTGAAATATTATTTTGCATTTACAGTAATCTTGGTGAGTTTTTCTTCTGACTCTGGCAGCTTGATTTGAATATATTATATAGACTTCATAAGAAGAAGAAAAAAGACAAGCTGTGAGAAGCCAGTAATTTTATTGGGTTCCTCTACCTCTAAAACTTGAGACAGAATGACCACAGTCTGGTTTCTGAACACCATGTCTGTAAGGAAATTAGGATAAACATTTTTATATGGCTCTATGGTGTCTGCTCGCCACTCATAATAATTTATAGACATAAGGATAATTAGTGCAGTATTGTCCCCACTAGCACATAATGACAGCATGGATAAAAAGCAGATCAGAATCACAAATTCAAAATCAGACATAATACTTGGCAGCTGTATTGCACAAGAAGGCAACATGAACAGCATATAATTTTACTCAAGTGTTTCCTCTGAATATACTAATAGAAGGACTTTTTAATTGTAAACTTTCACTATTTTCTTCTAAACCCAACACAAAGAAGATGGATAAGAAATGACTAGACAAGATTTAAAGTTTACTATACATTCATTCAAAAGGAAATAACATTTTAGGGTTCTATAGTTTTAAGAGCTATAAATATCATTAAAAATATGTGGTTATCTACTAGTTCCCCAAACTGGAGCCCACATGTCTATAATTTACATCAGATCCAGAATCAAGTCAGAAAAATCTTTGCCAAAATATTTGGTTATGTGCAGCTTCCAAAAATTGATATGGTCAATAAACCAATTAGTAATTCTAACAAAACTATTATTAATCAAACCCAGAAAAGCAGAAACCAGCACCAGACACCTCCCAAATATCAAAGAAGAAACAATGTCACCAATCAACACATCCTCTCCAAACTTGTGTAAGGCAGATATTCTATCATTAAATACTAAATTCTGAATGAGCAAAATATGCAAAAGAAATTCAATTAGTAATTTCAGATGCATTTTAATAACACAGTACCACCAAAAGTTCCTTCTATTATTTTACTGTTTTATAAAAATGCTCTAACACAATAATCTATTTTAAATATAAATGTGGCCTTAAATGCTAGGGATAATTCAATAGCTTTGTAAATTCATAAACAAAGATTGAGGCAATACACTTAGATTGTGGAAAAGAGCAGGGAGATGAGTGGGAAACCTTCATTATTGAATCTCAGCTGATCCACAACAAGAATTCTGGCAAATCTTTTGGAATGAACATTCCTTTAAAATGTCCAAATACTGTTAAATAGCATTTTAAAATTTCATATTAAGTATCAGTTTGAAACAAGAAGAATTACAAGGTGATTTCTTGTCAACAGGGAAATAACAGTAGTAAAGGAGAATCATTTTGATTCCAGCTGAGAAGACAATAAACTGAAAATGAACCACCTACTGAGGTATGATATATTAACCTGTATTACATATCTCATTTTATGAGGCATAAACCCTATTTTAAACTGGCCTAGAACTAATTTCATTTTTTTATGATTTGGAAGTCAAATCATAAAAGTATAAAATTTCATAGTATAAAATTACTATGTACTTTCCTTATCTAACATTATTCCCTTTAAACAAGACAGACAGCACCTTTTCCATTAACAACAAATGCCACTCTCTCTCTTAAGAAACATCTGTGGCTGATTTTTTCACAAATGTGGCAGTCTTCAATTTGTTGGCTGGTAATCAAATGCAAACTTAAACATCTGTCTCCCAGATGTATGGAGCAACATATTGCTTAACTATATAGAATTTGTGAAATATGTCAGAAATGACTGGAAGTAGAATAGTTAGAGATGACTGGAAGAAGAATAGTGTCAGAATAGAAAAGAAAAACACCCTTAAGATTCCCCCTTTAAAGATTTATTTTAGATGTGTTAGGTTTCTACAGCAAACTTTAGTTTTCCTAAATATTAATTTCACATAATATAGAACCTTTACATATACTAGATATTTATTTTTCTTATCACTAAGCCAACTATGATTTGAGAGCAGAAAACTTATTAAAACATGAACTATATGGAAAAACCTGGAGATAACTTCAAGTAGAACTAAGAAATTCTGAATTTCAGTTATATGTGAAAAACAGTTGCAGAAGACAATAATTGCTATGATTTAAATTTTTTCAAGGCATTTTGGCTAATCTCCAGATGACAGGATGCTAGCAAGATGCTCTCTTGTTGTAGATAAGCAGGGATCTTCTAATGGAAGGGAGAAGACATATATTGAATAACTATTAATAACTTTAAAATGTAATAAATGTTCAACAGAGATGTAATGCATGATATAACATTTACACATGGATACACTGAGTCAAGTTATTAAAGAGATATAAAATTAAAAAAATGTTCTTGCATATCATTCCCATTGAAATAAAAGCAACATTTACCATGTTCTATGTCCTTCATCTCCAGATGTAAACTAGATATCAGAATTCCTACAGTTTGAGATCTCTTCCCATCCAATAACTTGATAATCTGGAAATAAAAATACCCAATGATGTCAGAAAAATATGAACTTTCTACATTAATTTAGTAACTAAATGCCAATCATCACTTCTTTTTAGATTCATCAAGATTTATTTATTCATTTATTTATTTAATGGATATAGCTTGTAATTTTTAAATTGTTCTGACATAATGCAAAATTATTTCTGCACAATTTAGAAGTTATACAGTCCTAATCTGACACGAATGATTTTCAAGAATCATTCTTATTATACTTATTTTATACTTATTAGCTAGAGAAATCAAAGGACTTTTAATTGTCACTGATAGACCATTAAACCATATACTCAATTTTTTCACTGAAATTAGTAGAATTTAGATCTAAGTTTGTCTGTAACAAACTTAGTTTTATTAAAATTTACAATAAAAATTCAATAAATGAATAATTTGGGGAATTAATGAAAATAAATGAATAACTGAGAACAAATTATTGTTGGGTTCTTTTTTTTCTTATTAAGAAAAGCTGCCTTGAAGTAAATATTTTCACAGGGGAAGTTTTTTCATATATCTTTCTGAAGTTATACATGTTACACAATGAACGAAAACAGGTTAATGTCTAATAAAGTTAATTATTTTCTAAAGTAGAATACTATTTGTATAGTACTTAGGGACTTCTAGACTGAAGAAACTTCTTAGGCTATCATAAACCTCATTAGGCATGTCTAATATTTGAAGTAAAATATTTTCTGAATGAACTATTATTGTGATGCCTCTCCAAATCATAAGTATGCCTGAGATGTACGATCAGAATGAGCTCGCATAGCCTCTCCCCATATATCCCATTTGAAATTGCAAATAATTATTGAGGTTTAGTTCTAACATAATTTTAAAACCACAGATGTTGATTTCAGAATAGCTAAAGCTCAAAAGGAATAGCTTGTCAGAACCAAGATCTAGAACTCTTGCAACACTAACATGGTTTGATATTGATGTGCAAAAAAATAAATCAACAACTAAAAACAACTTCCTAACAGAAATCGCTAGCAGGGAAAGAACATTTTCCCAGTATTACAGCAGCATAAGAGCAATTTGCAGGAATATAACGGTATTAAAGTCACATAGTCTATAAATAACTTCTCATCTGAAAACCATGGTTACAAGTCCACAGAATGCAAGAGCTGATGTATATTAAACTGCCCAAAGAATATATTTTAAGTCATGTATTAAGAACAGGGAGTTTAGAAAATGGTTGAATAAATAAATACTGTTTGAAAAATTATATGACATCTGGCAATGATCCTAAATTGTAAAAGCTGCTGAAACTCACAGCAAGGTTACACTGGTCAAATTCTGGTACTGATGGCTAGAGGATGTTATAAAATGCTGATGCAGACTTCTCAAATCATTTTAAAAAATACCATGAAATAGTAATTTACAATCTTTCATAATTATAAAATAAGCAACAGACCTGAAGACATTCTCTTAAAATATAAAAATGTTCCTTATTCAAAATATTGACTCACTGTAAATAAGAACACATGTTACTAAGTATATGAAGCCAGTTAGCGGCAGAAAACCCATTATCTTCTGTCACTGATATAGTAATCGCTGGACTAAAAATCTAAAAATGATGGATGGAGCCTTATTTATATCATGCAGGTGATCACATATTACCCCCTTTCTTTGTACAAGGAAAGTAGAATAGCCTCAGATTGGTAATATTAGCTTCCATAAGAGAAACTGGCATTTGGCAAATAATAAACCTCAGCAAAACCGAGTCATTTAAATTTCAAAAAATATTATCTGAGCTATGTATTTGAAAATTTTCACTCAACATTTCAGGTAATAACCATACTGAAAACACATATACTTTCTCACAGCAGAAGGTGAATAGCAGATATTCTTCCTTAAGGCCTCATTACAATACATTGAGAAGGGCAGTTCTGCCTAGTGGTTAAGGCATCAGGCTAGAAATGGGAGATCGTGAGTTCAAGTCCAACCTTAGACATGAAGCCAAAGGGATAACCTTGAACTGGTCACTTTCACTCAGCCTTGGGAAGGAGACAATGGCAAACTATTTCTGAAAAACCTCACCAAGAAAACTAATACATGTTGATTGTCTGTAGCTCCCCAATTCATAATGTACTTATAACTATCTGCTTTTCAGTTACATCTCCTTCTCTTTTTCCTATCGAACAATTTATTAAAAATTAAAACTGTATAAACAAATGGTCATGGCTCGGAAAATGGAATCATTCTAAGATGTCAAATGATACGACAAGTAAAATGGTTTAGAATGCAGTTGAAATAAGACAAGTGTCTTCCAGTTTGAGCTTCTTCGGCGACAGACCGAAATCGCATCTCTGCGCAGTTTCGATCCGTGCTCGCCGCTGGAGCGCCCCGAGCCAGCTAAGCCACCCCATAGAGGTGGTGAAGAAGGGGGAGACTGCCTGCAGGGTTGAGGAGAGCCGCATCTCCAGCTGGCCATTACTCCCTTTCCCGAAGGCAGTTGTAGAGGTGGTCAGAAATGGCCACCACAAAGAAGAACTTGACTGGAAAAGAATGTGCAGGAGGAAGATAAGAAGAGAAAGTTTTGGTTGACTGGGTCAAACAGCAAAAGCAACAAATAAGGTACCCTGGAATTGAAACTATTTAAAAAAAAACAATAACATTGTTCCCTAAGAAGATTTTTAAGCTGCGAAGGAGAGAGAAAAGGGAAAAGATTTTTTTTCTCCTTTTCCTATACTGACAGCTAAGAGACTTAAGCAAGAAATTGGAAAAAAATTCACTTTGATATTAATAGGCATTTAATGCTGAAAATAAAAAGTCAAAGGGATAATAAAGATTTCTGGATAATTAAAAGCTTTTGAAAACAGGAAAGGAGAGAAAAAGAATAAAAGGGCAGGATCTGGAAGGGAGGAGACTGCCTAGAATTAAAAAAGAACTTACAGCAAAATCTCAACAAGACTTCCAAAAGATACATCTTAACTGAAACATTGCAACAAAATAGAAAAAACCCCAGGAAGAGAAAGTGGAAAAAGAAATAAGAAGAAACAGCTTGGGACTGTTTGGATTACTTGGTGATCTCTGGATTCTTGGTTATTGTATTTGAATGACTAAAATCAATCGGGTGGTTGTTGAAAACTGTTTAAAATGGCTCCACTTTTAGAAGAACTGAAAATGGAACTTAAAAAGTACAAAGAAGATGCACAAGAAGGGAGAGGTTCTTTTTGGCTTCGTATTTCGGTTCTTAGAAATGGAGATTTGGAACTATGAGAAACAACAAGAAATGCCTGTAGAACAAGAAGATTGCGACAAAGAAAAAGCCATCTTTAATGAACAAGTAATCTTAGGTGGGGGAAAAAAAGGAAAGGGGGGAAGGAGAATGGAAAGTTTAAGATTGGGAAAAACAACCAAAAAAAAGAATAGAGTGAAAAATAAGTATAAAATCAGAAAGCAACAGAAGAGGGAAATGCAGAAGAGAGAATTAGAAGTAGAGAGACAAGGGGGTAAAAAGGGGAGGGAGAAGATGAGAGGGAAGAAAGAAAGGAAAAGAAGTTATAAAGGACAGAAACAAAATATAGAGAAACAGGGCCTATTTAGGGATAATGGGTGAAAATCTAATGGAAAAAGGGATTTTGCAAAGGTATATAAGATAGTATTGTTATATTAAAAATAGAAATAATTTCAGAAAATATGAAACAATGTATGATTAAAATGTTTGATAAAATAGCTATCGTAACTTAGTGGAATGCTTGTCAATAAATAAATGCAACAAAATGAATATTTAATGATTTATAAAATCTATGTGAAGAGAAATAAGGGAAAAATTAATTATAGAGATTATATGTGTCTTTAAGAAAGTATGATATTTAATTGAAAAGAAATGTTAAAGATGTTAAGACTTTAATGATTATTAATGATAGATCTGAATTGGAATGGAATGAGGGTTTATAATTATATAAATTTATAATCCTTTTTTAAAAAAGAATATAGTGTGTGTTATAAGAATGTACCAAGCAGAATTTTATTAGAAGTTATGTATTATGTATTATATTGAAGGTCATAACCTTAAGGTATATATTGAAGTTTAAATAAGAGTTGAATGGATACAATTAAAAGATATAAAGGTGTCATACTCCAATTAGTAACTACAGGAGAAAATTTGTTTAATGAGAAAAGATAATATGAAATTGAAACAGAACAGACAAAAGTATGAATATAATGATTTGAATTGAGATGAGATAATCAAAATAAAGTTGAGAAAATTAAAAGAGGGGAAAAACTATATAGAAAATGAAAAATAGTAATAAGATATGGAATAGAACACAAAAATGAGCATGAAATTGAGTTTGTGTCTGTATAAAGAAGTTCAACCCGGGACCATGCTATTTTCAAAAAAAGATGTTTTACTTGTATTTTGTATGTGTGAAAACCCAAATAAAACTTTATTAAAAAAAAATAAGACAAGTGTATGACTTGTTTCCAGGGGAACAGTAGATCACAGAATGGTTTCAAACCAAAAGAACACAATTAACTTCTGATCATGTGTTGTTTAGACTTTTAGAGATTAGTACCAAAACTATACATATAGCTTGGTCTCAATGTAAATTATGGCTTAGTGAATTGCCTAAATACATCTTATTATACAATCAGATAACACATATGTGTGAATCCAGTTTTTATTTTAGGAAAGGTAGAATAATACCAATCTATTGCAATATGTAAGATTTCTGTGCAAAATATAGATTTGTTCTAATTTTGTTTTCTTTCAAAGCAAAATCATTCACATTTAGTATTTAGAGAAGATTGTAAAATATGCAACAGTGTTGTTAAAATAACTTTGAATTCCTGTTGCCTGATTGGTATTAAAAGTAAAAGCAGGTTCGTACACTTAGTTAGGGGCAATGCCAAAATAGCATGGCATATGCACTAAGGAACATTTAATTTTAGGTTTAGGTGAAATGAAAGGATATGATACTAACAGTCGTGTTCTTTATATGATGGAAGTACTATTTTAAAGGGCTAATTAACAGCCTGAAACAAGTCTGAAAAAAATTAATCCCAGATGCTGGCTTTCATAAAAATTCTTGGCGAATCAGAAACAGATTACTTTTGTCCAATTTTGTAACCCTTGGCCATAGATTGAAAAATGTAGATGTTATTGTAATTTTTATTCTCTGCTAAAATCAAAATTATTAAAATAAAATTAGGTTTTTCAAAATACAGTAATTAGAAAATAAAAATACCTTTTTGGATTTGGTTTTCTTTTCATAAGAGTCAGCTAATGCTTTTTTCTTTTCCCGAGCTGTTTCTTTTGAGAATAAGTATTCAAATTCATTTGTATCACAAAGATTGGGTTCTTCTAATGAGTCCCAAAGAGTTGGCATTGACTGTTGACTAAAATAAGAAAAAAAGAGAAACATTCATAAATTGTCATTTAAAGGTACAGATGTTTTCCAGATGGGCTAGATCACTTTTGAAAGAAATGTTTCATATGAAGAACTGTATAATGCTCAACAGTTATCTCAATTGTTTTGGTATTGCATAGGGGTGCGATGCTACTTCGTGAATCAAATGACTAGCAACAAGTGGCAGCCAGACTACATTGAAGAATTGGCAGTTATCAACAGACATCTTATAGAACTCCTGGCTCTCTAAATACATAGCAACGGATGAGCCTAACAAGGCATATCGAGGCTGGTTTCCTAGTGGGGCTGAAAAACCACAGCTGTGTTCATCCACCTTACTGCAGCATACGATATCATGCAGAAGAAGGGTCTGCCAGGTTTTGATCTTCCTCACCAGCATTGGTCAACTCTGAACAGGATCCATATCCAACATGGTGTCCAGGACTCATTGTTTAAGTAGGGTCTTGTCTCTACGCCCCCCCCCCCCATGTGACTGTGGTGCTCTTCAACAAAATATCCACCACATTGTGTCCGAATGTCCATCAAGAGTTCACACTGACCCAATATCTGATTTTTTCAACATAGACCATCATTGAATGGCTGGGTGGACTGGACATTAATATTCAAACTACTATAAGTCCATGCACTAAATAAATAAATAAAATAATGGTATTGCATAGATTACAAATATTTTTTAAAATTATTTTATCAACAACAAGATTTTCTTCTCTCTTCTGTCCCCTCTACATATTACTTTTCTTTTTAGGAAAGCTTGGAGTAGAAATGTAACTCAAAATATTTTATTATTATAGTTGGGTATATATGTCATGCTCAGTTTAGTGTGACACATGAATTAAATCAGAATAATTTGTATGACAGCACTATGTCTTCTTCAATAAATTGTGATTAAAGGAAAGCATGATTTAGCAATGTATCACAATATTTGAAACCAATCAATATTTCCTCACTATTGTTGTGGATGAATACATACAAGATGAAGAAAACCTTATCAGCAGAAGGAAAGGACTATCTCACAGAATACTCTCGCATTGTCCACATTCCTTTCGTAACACATTCCATTGTCCACATTCCTTTCGTAACATTTAATTCACAAAACCTATTGCTGAATGCTGAAATCTATAATTTAAAACAGTCTTTATTTTTTCCATCTATTTTCCATTGCCTTTTAGCAAAGGAAATTATTTCGGACAGATTGCTTTTCTGTGAAGAAAAAAATGTTTTCTTCAGTAGCAGCAACTGACATTTTCCTTCCAACAGGGGCCGCTCAAACAACATTCTACTTATCCCTGTCATGTAATACAGTTTCTAGTCTTTTTCCCCATGATATAGTCATGGAAAGAAAGAAGGAAAGGCAAAGGGGAAGCCAATGTGGCAAATGGACTGACAAGATATTATTGACAAACATGTCAATATGTCTATGACAATAAGTTGAGTTGCTAAAAATAATTAAACTTGCTGTCATATTCATACCTAGAGAGTGGGAAGGTTTCTACAGTCTCTGTGGTATTTACTTCTAAGCAGTCATCCGTGCTATAGAGCATGGATATTGCTGTTCTGTGAGATTTCAACTAAGAGTATTAGCAGGGAAATGGGAAACAAGTTTGACATTCTATTATATTCAAGGTATTTTTTAAAAATGTTTTAAAAAGAAATGTATGAGTGATTGCTAAGGGTAGATAAGGAAGACAGTTCCCCATTCAAAATGTATCTTTAGGAGTGTATTGCAAAGTGTCATATTTCATCAAGATGTTAGTTATAGTATTATCTTTCTTTGCTGTGAATGTTTCACTCTTTTCAAGAGTTAACATGCATTTAATATAGCAGCAAAAATGTAAAAAAAAAATCAAAATATTGCTAGAAGCTGCAAGAACCTCTTCACTTTTTTCTTTGAGGCCCTTACAAGCAATATATCATAGGTTTATCCCAGGAATGCTTTATATCAAATGATATTGTTATGTAAGCCACAAGTATAGATCTGAACAAAAACATTATAGGAGCTATGGGGGAAAATATTTGATATGAAGCAGTCTAAACAAATTGAAATTTCTCTTAATCTATTTGACTATTTCTCATAATTTTGCCTCTTGTTCACTTTTTCTTTGGTGAATTGCACACCTATGCACAGGTATATATGTGGCTATACAATATACCAATATCTTCTACGTATAAGCAAGAAGATATAACTATACCTGCTATGTGATATTTGGATTCTGTTCCAGTAGAGTGGCCTCATGGGACAAGAAGGTTCAACTGTAGGTTTTCGAGGACCTTGACTCATTGAAGAAAAAATAGAGCCAAGTGGCAGTGGTGGCGGCAGTGGCGGCGGTGGCGGAGGTCCCGTTCCTGTTGGAGGTGACCCTGGTGGGGGAGGTAGAGATGGCTGATGAACACCAAAAGCTGAAGGAAGTGGTGGCGGTGGTGGCGGCAGCGGCGGATGGGCAGATCTCAGACTTGTGGGCAACAATGGTGGTTGTGGTAGGATTGAATCAGTTAGTGAGAGAGGAAGAGGAGGTGGTGGAGGAGGTGGCGGCGGCACTATTTGGTCCAACTTCGAAAAAACATTCCCTGAGGTTTGGCTGGAACTGCATATTTCCTTATGATCAGCTGAAGCTAAAGCACTGTTATTCACATAGGGTTTGGAAAGTTTCTTTGGAATTTTTTGATTATTTTTTGGTGTCCGTGTTTCATCTTCATTTGGCTTTATAAAAGTTTCTCTATCTGTCTGGATACATACATTTCTGTATGTCTTTGGTAGGTTGTCATCTTCAGTGGATATACAAGCATCCTTTGCTTCTTCATCTTGCTTGTATAACTTATTTTCCAGTTCATTTTTTAAATATAAAATGTGTTCCTCAAGCTTTGTTATTGATAGAGCGTGTTCTCCTCGAATATGAAAGACTTTGAGTTCAAACTCAGACTGTGAAAGAATATTGAAAAGTCAGTGTATAAACCATTGGGAACCTTTGCCTTATTTATTATGCATACAATGTGTGATGGTTTACAGTGGTCTTCCCCAAGCTACTGTTCTCCGGGTATGTCAGAATTAAATTTTTCCCCCTACAGCAAAAGAATATTCTTGACAAGAGAATCTGTCCAACGTATCTGGAAGATACCAGACTTTAGGAAGCTAATCTGAACCATTTAATCACTCTTTGTCTTATGAGCTTATGATAAGTAAAATGCCATGGGGTATTAGTTGGATTATTGTGCTCTGTATACAAAAACAGGTATATTTACAAGCAACGTATTTACACAGGGAAAATTTAAAAGTCTTCTTATTAATTTTACAGCTTTCCTCAATGAGCATATTGGCCGCATATTGAGCTTTCTGCTTAAAATGTGAGAGTTTATTCATATACTGATTATTCTTGGATAAAATATCTATACATTATAATCTTGGTACAACAGTCCCATGTGCTGCCTTCTGACTGTAGGGAAAAAAATTAATGACTTTTTAGTTTGTATCATTTCTACTTTCCTTGAAACCAAAACAAAAATGTTGCATATTACTTCATAAGAAAAAAAAGAGGCATTGAAATAAACTCAATATGTCCTACATCAGACATTCTTCTTTGCAGTGAAAGGGATTCTGAGACAATATCAAAAGTTATCAGAAATAATTTCCTCTGAAGATCAAAGACAATTAAAGAATCCTGTAAACATTCTGAAGACCATTCTCTCCATCTTGGAGCATGTCACATTGTTTTCACTTAGTCACGTATGAACTGGAAGAAAAGCCAGTAGTCTGTATGAAAACATTTAGGCTACCTAAATTCGTAATAGGATCAATATATGCCTTCCATGACAAGTAAATATAGCATAAATCTGCAGTCATGCAAGCAGCAGAGCTTCCTCTTCAGTAATAATGAAAATTCTACTGACATTTATTTCAAGCATATCAAATAATTAAGAAATAGAATACATTATGTATGGTGCAGCAGTTTATAACCAGTCAAAAATATTATTAAAGCACTATAGACATTAAAGGACAAATGCAGCTGATAATGACATATTTTCTAAACAATTTCCCCCTTATATTCCCTACGGATTGTACACCTTTAAATTATCTTCTAGTCTGGGATAGCACAAAATATATTGCAATGATCATTTATTCTATGCTTCTATAAACACAGCTTTTCACAGACCTGAAAATTATTGCATATGGGAGGTCTAATTCAGGGCAAGTCACCTTTACATATATGTGCATTTTTTCCTTGCTAAATCAAAAGACAAATAAGCAAAATATTAAGTACAATGTTATTGTTATTCATGTAAGTTTGTCAAACATTAATGGAATACAAGAATAAAGGTTCTGATCCAGAAAGGATTATCAAATCAAGGTTGGGAAAACCTTTCAATTATCTTCTAGTTTGGGACTGCAATTAAGCAGAAGTAATGCTTTCTCTCCTCTAGCCATCTCGTAAATCGGTAAAAATGATTGAATTTCAAATAATAATAATAAATCACAAAGTAACTATTTTCATCTTTCTATTACAAAGGGCCATTGCTTAGCTCCGCCCAAGCTGATACTTTACGACATACTCGCTTCTTGGGAAGAATTCTGTGTGTATAAAGGCCAATACCAACTAAAGAACTGGTAGCTGTGATTTCACATTGATGTTATAATAATTTATTAAACTTGCACGCTGTTCAACTCTCCACAACTTTGGAGAGCTTCCAACAATCAATAAAATTGAGCTATTAGAAATACTTTGGATTCTAGAAATTTTGTGGCATCAAATCATGTTGCCTCCTGATAAACAACTCATAATAGCCAAGATAGGATTCAATATCCTTCCATGTAAAACTTAGTGGGATACTTGACAGGGTGTTTTCAAATTGTGGATTATGAGTCACCAGGGAATTTTGGGGAAATAGGGAGCATGATTGGAAGCGGATCCCGCCATAGTGCGGGAATAATGCCTGGAAGAAGAAAAAGGAAGCATGATTGAATTTTTTGTGACTGCTGTCAGAACATGTTCTCACTTAGCTCAGAATTCTGAATCCAGCTGTGCATGTGCAAGGCTCATGGCTTGTGCACCCATAGCTGGATTGCTGTCAAAAATTGTTCTTGCTCTGCCTATGCAGCAGCTGCACAAGCAAGAAGCTAGTTTATCCAAGCAAAGCAGAGACCAAAGCCCAGAACACACAAATCTAATAAGATTCTGGCTTGGCATTTCTCATGCTCTGCCAGTTTGTTCAAGTAAAAGCCCAGGGCAACTTCTGAGAGTGCTTCTGCCTTTCATACTAGCCAATGAAGTAAGCATTTTCTACAGCTGCTGTTCTAAACAGCAAACATTGATCCCAAATAAATGTGGAGTGAATGCGAAGTGATAGCAGCTGTTTCTAAAATAAAACCCAGATTATGGGAATTTCAGCCTCTTCTCTGTCTTGCAAAACAGTTTCATTCTTTTATTATACCAAGTCCGTCAATGTTGTGTGTGTATCCCAAGTGGGACTGTGCACACAGCTTCCAGATGCTAGCATCTTGTTGTTGATCCAAACTGCTGGAAATCAACCATACAAAAGCCAAAGTTGATATATTTACCAGCTAGCATGCCAATCACCCCACAATTGGAAAATTGACAACTGCCCTATAAAGGCATTTAAATATCTAGGCATCTATTTCCAATCATCTTCTTCCTAGAAATTTACCTCTTTAAACCTCTCCTAGTAATTAAGACACATAACCAATAGTGTATCTAATATCTAACCTTGAACAAATATTTTGAATATATTGAAAGATAGTACATTGATATACATATTTATATCATATAGAGGGAGGTGGTGTTTTTAGAGCCCCCAATGAATTCACAACCTTAGAAATTAGCTAGGGACTCTTAGCCTGAACTAACTTTATGTTATCATACTGAGAGGCCCTTTGCGTGTCCATAATTTTGATGTGGTGTAACTCATCTCTTCTTTGGACACAGCTTTTCTTCTACTTTTAGTCTTAACAGTGGGAGATCTCTGGCTTCTCCTAACAGCTTGTTCTGCCACTAGCAATATATTTCTTTAGCAGGTGGACGTGACTCATGTCTCATCATGACTCCCTCCCATCACTGCCTAACGAGACTTTGTGTTTTGCAAAGTAAATAAACAAATGGGTGTGCTTGAGTAACCAGATCTGAGCTGTAAAAAAATGATACATACACATTTTTATAGCTCAATCCTACATGTTGTACATTTAAAAGCAAAAGTACTATACACATCTATGATTTATAGTAAAGGTAAAGGTTCCCCTCACAGATACATGCTATTCATTTCCAGCTCTAGGGGGCAGTGCTCATCTCCATTACAAAGCTGAAGAGCCAGCACTGTGCGTCTCTGACATCTCTGTGGTCATGTGGCCGGCATGACTAAATGCCGAAGGAACACGGAATGCTGTTACCTTCCCACCAAAGTGGTCCCTATTTTTCTAATTGCACTTTTACATGCTTTCAAACTGCTAGGTTGGCAGAAGCTGGGACAAGTAACGGGAGCTCAACCCATTTTGCGGGACTAGGGATTTGAACCGCCGAACTGCTGACCCTTCTGATCGACAAACTTGTTGTCTTAGCCACTAAGTTTTACAGAAAGACATTTGGTAAAGTTTATTTTATAACAAATCTGGTAGAAATATAAGGTGTAGTTTTTGTATTCTATTATAGTTTGCCACACCACTTTGGCTCTTGTTATTTGTCCAAGGAGAATTTCCTGGTCAAATACAGGAAGTCATCAACTTACAACTATTTGCTTAGTGATTGTTTGAAGTTACGATGACACTATAAAAAATGACTTACGATCGGTTCTCATACTTATAATCATTGCAGCATCTCCATGGTCACAGGATTAAAAATTGGGTGCTTGGCAACCACACGTATTTACAATAGTTACAGTGTCTCCAGATCATGTGATTGTCATTTGCTACTTTCCCAACTCACTTCCAACAAGCAAAGTGAAAGAGGGGGGGGGCAGATTCATTTAATGACCACATAATTAATAACAACTGCAAATAAAATCATAAAATTGAGCATGGCTCGCTTAACAATCACCTTACGCAGAAATGGATATTCTAGTCCCAATTGTGGTTTTAAGTCAGACTAGCTGTACTATAAATTAAATACTTACTTCTAACATTTTAGGATGCTGACTTACCTTACTATTAAATTTGAAAACCGCTTATAATAATAAATTAGTATTTAGTAATCTATTATATTAATTTAAGTAAATATTAATTAGTATTAACTATTAAAGTTAAAATCTAAAGACATCTACTATAAAACAGTCTACAGATAAACATACAAAGATCTCACTCTCTAAGATGTTACGGAAAATGCTGATTTGTTTAATTAACAAAGAATTACATTTGTAATTCTCTTACTTAAAGGATTTAATGAAAATCCACCCCAATTCTTAACCCAATTGCTCACTCTATAGAAATGTTATTTCTTTTCACCTTCTTTTCAAGAGGTCACTATGATAACTACTGTATTTCCCCAAAAATAAGACTGCGTCTTATATAAATTTTTGCTCCAAAAGATGCATTAGGGCTTATTTTCTGATTAGGTCTTATTTTGGGGGAAGTATGGTACTAAATGTGTCCATCTGGCTGATGATCTTAACTGGGACTTAGTTTTGGGATGGGGTTATATTACGAGCATCCTGAAAAATCATGCTAGGACCTATTTTTCAGTTGGGCCCTATTATCAGGGAAACACGGTAACACTAAGCTTTGCTTTGCAATTGGTTGCTCATATTCAATAAAGAAAATTCATTTGAATATTTGTAAATAAGTTCTGAATTTTCCACTCCATTAGGACCCATCTGTACATTCCTCTGATGCAAAATATTCGGAAAGCCAAGACTGATTATAAGAGGAAGATTGAGGATAATTTTTATAGCAATAACATGAGGCAGGTGTGGTGAGGGATTCAACAAATTACAAACCATCAACTGACTAATGTCATCCCTGCTGAGGGAGATGCTTCATTGGCAGAGGAACTGAATCATTTCTTTGCTCACTTTGAAGTGGAGACATCAGAGACAGATAAAATACAACTACCAGCCAATTGTAGACCCCACCTCATTGTGAAGGAACAGGAGCTGAGGACCATTCTGAGTCCCTTACTCTATACTCTTTATATGCATGACTGCATTCCCACTCACGCTAGTAATACTATTGCTAAATTTGCAGATAATACAACAGTGGTGGGACTTATCTCCAGGGGGGATGAGTTTGCCTACTGAGATGAGGTGGACCGGTTGCTTTCATGGTGTGGAGACAATAACTTGGTCCTCAACACCAATAAGACCAAGGAGCTTATAGTGGATTATAGAAGAAACAGATCAGCCCTTGCTTATCAATGGAGACCAAGTGGAGCAAGTGGCCAGTTTTAAGTTTCTGGGTGTTACCCTAAAAGAGGACCTGACCTGGGGTGCCCACATTGCAGCCCTGGTCAAAAGGGCCCAGCAGAGATTATACTACCTGAGACTTCTCAGAAAACAACAACTGAATGAAAAACTGCTGGTGACCTTCTACCGCTGCGCCATAGAGAGCATTTTAACATACTGCACCTCTGTATGGTTTGCCAATTACACAGTGGCAGATAGGAAAGCACTCCAGAGGGTTAATGCCATTGCCCAGAAGATCATTGGTTGCCCTCTCCCCTCTTTGGAAGAGCTTTATAGCTCCCGCTGCCTTAAAAAAGTTCAAAACATTCTCAAAGATCCATCTCATCCTGGGAACCCTTTTTTGAACTATTACCATCTGGCAGACGGTACAGAATAATAAAAACAAGGACAAACAGGCTGAAAAACAGCTTTTATCCCAGGGCAGTAGCTCTTTTGAATTCGGTTGTATAGTGCAGTGTTGGTGCAGTGTTGTAGGTTTTTGGTTCAATGTGTGGAGGGTGAAGGATGTGTGTTTGTGTTTATTTTCATGGTCATGATGTGCACTGAAGATGGTGTTTGATTTCATTGTACAAGGCGCAATGACAATAAACTAAACTAAACTGAACTAAACTAAAAATATATAGCCAGAGGCCTGGACACCGGATAAGATAATCACTGCAAAGTGCCATGTAAAAAACATTCTATCAAATGTTAATAGTTCTAGGATAGGAGAAAACAGCAACTAACCTTGTAACATTTTTTTTGTCTACCAGTAAAAGAAAGAAATGCTTAACTGACCTCTAGTGGTTTTTTTTCTAAATTAATTTTTACAAGATTTGGTTATATGTAACAGGCAAGGAACCCCGTTGTTTTCCAGATGTTGTTGGAATGAACTTCCATCAGATGCAGCCAACATGGTCAATGGTTAGGAATGATCAGGACCGATCCAACACCATCTGGAGAACTATAAGGTCCCAACCATTTTGTTTTAAATGTCTCAGAGGATGAAAGAGTTGATCTTCCCAAGGTTGCATTAACCAGTAACTGATAAATGCATTGTCCTTTTTTTTCAATCAATGGGATGAAATAGTATAGACCCAGATGGTTTTGGACTCACCGCAAAATTGATACTGTTGAGTCCAGTGTCAAATAGGTATATTGGATGCTATTTTTTTTCAGCATAATTCAGTGGAAATATTTAATTACAATTAGAGAAAAGATATTATCAACCAAGACTGTAAAAAAGCTTATGTACACATCAGGTACCTGGATATAAATGCAATACGCTTCTGTTTTTCATTTAACTTACTCTTATGTTAGGAATATTTACTAAAGAATGAAAATAGAATAATAGAAGTATTACTTTTTGTAAATGTAATTATTTATTATTTTCAGATCAGACAAATGTATGGGTTTCTGAAGCAATGGATCAGTTTAACTATATTGCTACTGAATAATAAAAAAGAAGACTCTTACATAACAGACTTTAAATCCTTGTTCCTGAAAATCCAAATGCAGTAAATAGCTAACCAAAGAAATCCAAATATATTAACCTAAAACTCACATTTTTCCTAATCTTTAAATACCAGGATGGTTCCTTTAAGATGAATGAAGTCAACAGTTCAGCATGAATGATAGGACAAGATTGATTTATATTATCCTGTAGCCTCTTTAACAGTTAACAAAGCTTGGCATTCACAGAGGTCTACTATGTCTCTAAGGAAGTATTATTTGAGACTGTTTAAAAATTCTGACAATATTTAAAGATGAAAAATATTTTCAATACAAAAGATGCCTAATAAGAACATTCAACAAATTTATATAACATTTCAACAGTGGAAGAGGAAATATTTGTATAGAAATAAATGCCAAAAATACTTACTTTTAGTTTCTCAATTTCATCCTTATGTTCCCTTTTTAACTGCAAAATCACAGCATGGTACTCTACAAAAAGTGAAATAATATGTCAGAACAATGTTACAAAGGTTCCTGAGATGCCAGCACAAATATCAAAGGAACTACCATATCTGATATCATACAGCTTTTCCTGGCTGCAATGCAGTAAATGAATACAGTGGAAATTGTAAAATATATTGAAGCACAACTCACTACAGTTGATTACATTTTTCTAAAATAAATTATTTTGCTTTTCACTTTGTATTAATGGCTGTTAATATTTTTATTTATATTTTATTGCTTTTTAATTAAAAGCAAAAAAATAGCGAAACACAAAAATTATAGTGATGGTGTTACATACATTTGCAAAAAGAAGAAAAAAATAGTACATAAAAGTGTTGTAAGAAAACAGTGAAAAAATGACACACACACACACACACAAAACAAACATCTGTCATAGCTTCTAGGGTAATATAAGCATTTTCATCTTTTCTATACCTTACTATGTCTGGAAAGTAAACAAAAAATGAATACATGGGTTAGAATGTATTGAATGAGTGAACAAATAGCTCTCATTAGTAGAACTTAATGGAGTGGTATCTCCATGTCAGGGATATCAAACTCGACTTCATTGAGGAGTGCATCAGAGTTGTGTCTGACCTCGGGACCAGCGAAAATGGAGCTCAGGGGTTTTTTGCTGGCAGAGGGCTGCAGAAGGCTCTGGGCTCTGTTTTCAATGGCAGAGGCATCACGGGCCAGTCTTTTGCTGTTTCCAGGGCAACCCCACAGGCCAGGTCTAAGCCTTGAGTTTGACACCCCTGCTCTATGTGCTGGGTAACTAAGACACCTATAAAGGTACTCCGAAAAGCTATTTCAAATAAAGTATCTTAGGAAAGCAGACAGGCACTGAATGACTCTAACTCTGTTCAGACCTCCCACAACACTGTTGCCTAGTCTCAAGTCAGCACAATGTGTGGACTTTTGTGGATGTGCAGATGAATATTGTGGTTAGTGGGTGATTAATTCTTTAGTGCTCACCCATTTCCTGAAATGGGAATTCTTAAAAATAATCCAGAAAATGTATTAGAGATGGAACATAGGAAGAGGGAGGATCTATGTTATTACTACATTATTACTATAATATTATTTTAGTAATAGAACAGTCTGCTGTTCTGCTGTATATTGTACAAATAGAACAAAACCATGGTTTCTAAAACACAAAAAGGCAATATGGAATAGAAAGTGTATTGATATACATACATTCTATAACTCTTAGCCTGAAGTAGAGGAATTAGAAAAAAATATCTTATGAAAAAAAAACTTAAGATGATATTAGAATGGTGAAAAAATGGGAAAAAAAGAATGGAAGTGACAGTTAATCTATACATACATGTCACAATCAAAACATACTTATGAAATAATGCACATGAAATCGTCTCTTAATGAACATCAATATTCTATCATAATCTTGACAGTTATATATGAAACTCCCACTTTTTCACTTCAATAATTCAGAAACACCCTAAAATAGCATTTCCCAAAATATAGCTGCTAACTTTAATAAATTGTTTGCTATTTAATCTAAATTCAATATACTTATTCGGTAAATTATATTGGAATCATAGTGAATAGATTGCTGAAAGACCCAGCAATAATAAATAAAAATTCACAGCAAATTCAATTAAATAAAATTGTGTACAATGATCATAGCCAAAATAGAATTAGACAAAATTGCCATATTTTCTCTAAATATGTATACAAGTATGTGTATATATGAAAATTTATGTATCTATCCTATCCTATCCTATCCTATCCTATCTATCTATCTATCTATCTATCTATCTATCTATCTATCTATCTATCTATCTATCTATCTATCTATCTATCTATCTATCTATCTATCTATCTATCTACACGCACACAGTATGTGTGTATATATATTGCACATACAGTATAATTACCGTATGTATGTGGGGGATATATATATATATATTGTATGTATATATACTGTATGCGTTTACATGTGAAAATAATACATAGTTAAAGACGGACAACATACTTTTTGTTATCCCAAGTACTAATAAATGTTACCACTTCCTCCTCAGTCTTATTTAAGAAAGGTGTATTCTTTGTTCCCTGTCAAAGTTTGTACATATTGTCATAAATTCATGTTGACCTAAAGGAACTTTTTTTCCCTACAACTGGCTTTTATCCAGATGACGAATATATTTCTATGAGATTAACTAGCTATACAAAAGTGAAATTTGACATCTTCTGTCTCTTTTATATTCCTAATTTGTAATATTCCCAACAGACAGGAAGCAGCAGGTGAAGCTAGGCAGAATCACATCTGATACCTGTACAATTAGCACAGGGCCCCCTCAAAGCTGTGTGCTTTCTCCACTTCTCTTCTCCCTATATATCAATGACTGCATCTCAAACTATCCATCTGTTAAAATAGTGAAGTTTGCAGATGATACAACAGCGATTGGTCTCATTCGAGACAACCACGAATCTGCATAGAGATGGGAGGTTGTGCAACTTGCCTTGTGGTGTGACTGGAACAATCTGGAACTGAACACACTCAAAACCACAGAAATGGTAGTAGACTTTAGGAGAAACCCTCCCATACTACCACCTCTAATACTAGACAACACAGTATCAACAGTAGAGACCTTCAAATTTGTAGGTTCTATCATATCTCAAGACCTAAATTGGACACCTAACATCAAAACTGTCATCAAAAAAGCACAACATAGAATGTTCCTTCTGCGCCAACTCAGAAAGCTCAAACTGCCCAAGGAGCTGCTGATACAGTTCTACAGAGGAATTGTTGAGTCTGCCATCTGCACCTCTATAACGGGTTTGGTTCTGCAACCCAACAAGACAGATACAGATTTCAGAGAATAATTAGAACTGCAGAAAAAACAATTAGTACCAACCTGCCTTCCATCAAGGACCTGTATACTGCACGAATCAAAAAGGGCTGTGAAAATATTTACAGACCCCCTCACATCCTGGAAATAAACTGTTTCAACTCATACCCACAAAATGACGCTATGGGGCACTGCACACCAGAACAACTAGACACAAGAACAATTTTTTCCAAAATGCCATCACTCTGCTAAACAAATAATTCCCTCAACACTGTCAAACTATTTACTATGTATGCATTACTATTACTATTAACCTTCCCATCCTTCCTTTCACCCATCTCCTCCCACTTATGACTATGACTGTAACTTTGTTGCTTGTATCCTTACAATTTTTTAACTGACTGTTTCCTAGTATGATTTGATTGCTTATTGTACCCTATGACTATCATTAAGTGTTGTACCTTATGATTCTTGCGAATATATCTTTTCTTTTATGTACACTGAGAGCATATGCACCAAGACAAATTTTCTTGTGTGTCCAAACACACTTGGCTAATAAAGAATTCTATTCTATTCTATACTTGAATATCATGTCTATTGCTATAGATAAGAGGCTGGATCTTGAGGTGCTTTCTTCATGAATGGAGGGCTATTTAAATTTATAGATAGAACTGTAATCCAGAAGCCAATATGGTTGTGGAAAGGATAGATTTTTTACTGACTTCCTCTTCCCCTTGCCACTATCTCCTAAAGTTGGTTACTGGGAAAGTCAAGTCAGTTTCATAGGCACTGTTGTAGAGTTTCCTAAGGCTTTTGCGGAAAAAAAAGTATAATTGGCAGCTACAAATTCATTTAGCTCTTGAATCAGAGGGATGGGAGGAGAGACCCATGGACTACCTAACTCTTTAACTACTCCATGGGTGTATCCTACAGATTCTGTCATGTTTGCCAGGGGTTCTTCTTTCCCTTCTTTCTCCTTTTGCTTCAAGGAAAAGAAGAGAACAATGAAGAGCCAAGATTGCTTCTGATTGAGAGTTCCACTGAAAGAATGTGGGTTGAAGCAGAACTAGTTCCCACAGCATTTTTCTGACTCTGCAGCTTGGTCCACAGCCTCTCAACCAGGGGTGGGATGCTGGGGGTTTGGGAGAGACCCTAGCTAACATTCTGTGCAGTTTGGACAACCCCCAAATCCCACTCCTGGCTGGCCCTGCAAATACTTGGATGCGGGATTGGATTCAAGAGCTGAAGCTACTTGTGATGACAGGTCTCCAAATGTCATTATGCCAATCAAAAAAACCACTCATGAATTCATTTAAGTGAATGAGAATTTAAGCCAATTTTATTGCTGGTAATTCTGCTGAAAGGTGCACATCTATTTTAGATCTTCATAAGATCTAAATATCCAAGAGAATTCTTTATAAATCAAACCATGTTATAAGGCAAAAATACTTAATAATCCAACCTATACATGTCATTGGCACAACACGTCATTGGCAACCTATACATGTCATTGGCACAACAAAGTAAAAGAAGAGCAGTTTTATATATGAAAAATACAATAAAAGCTAAATCAATTTTTACAGACGAAGATGGGAGGATGTTGATGGTGGAGATAATGGAGAATAATAAAAAATACTTTTAGTAGCAATATATGCACCAAATGAGAAACAAGAGGATTTTTATAATAAACTTCACAAGAAGATAATAGAACTGGAATATGATAATATATGCATCTTAGGAGACTTCAATGCAATAGTGGATACAGAATTGGACTATAAAACACAGAAGATAAAAAAAGGAAAAAAAAGAAAAATATTGCAGAAATCTTTTTTTAAGATGGCAGAAGAAGTAGGTATCTGGCAAGTATGGTGAGAAATGAACACTAAAAGGAGGAGTACAAATTGCAGGCATTTGCAGATGATCTGATTTTCATACTAGAAGAACCATTAGAAACAGGACCTAAATTAATAGAAAAGATAGAAGAATATGGGGAAGTTGCAGGATTGAAAATAAATAAGGAGAAAACTAAGATATTAGTGAAGAATATTACAGAAAAGCACACACAAAAAAAGAATTGATGGATAGACTAGATATCCAGATCACAAAAAAAGTGAAATATTTCGGAATCCAACTAACAGCAAGATGTGGGGTGCTTAAATAAGATAATTGTTA